GCCGCGCGAGAGCACAATTTTGTTCCTATTTGCTCTATACATTTGCAAGACTCCTGCTGTTCTCACCCGTATTCCTTTGAGCAAAAAGGAAACGGAAAAGAACGCTTCGCAGGCGAGACGTTACCACACGCAGTCTAGCAATAAAAACATAAGACAGGGTGACATCTGATAAAGGAGAAAAGTTTCTACAGAAAAATGCGTTGCTGCGTCAGTGAGGGTATTAAAAGATAATGATCAACTGAGTTGATATGTAAATTGGCCACCGTAAAGAGTTTATAAAGCTGATGTATTAGCGTTAGCCCTTTGTCAGACGTTGGAAACTTCAGTTAGAATAACACTAAGTAAAATTACAGACTCTAAGAAAAAAATCTTTCAACAATTAACATAATTTGAGTATACCCTAAGACTGTTGCTGGCCTCTTTTGCTGCCCTCTTCTCCATCTGTTCCAACAACATTCTCCTCATCTCCTCTTTATCTTCTGCGTCCCTCCTCAGCTGTTCTTCCTTCTTCCTCTGCTCTTCCTCGAGATATTGCCGAGCCAGCAACTCCGCTTCCTTCTCTTTGCGCCGCTCACTATGAAGCAATAACAACAACATCAAGCAGACATGTGATCAGAATAAAGAAAAATATGAAATGGGGATTATCATTTGATCCAATACCAAATTCTCCAAACTAACATCACAGGAATTGTAAGGCAGACAGTAAGGAGAATTATTAACAAGATCCTGGGAGTGAAAGGGTTAAAGGTACTCACTTGTGGACTAAGCAGTAAAACACTTTGTTGTCCTGATCTGAAATAAATTTTAACCTTAGACCGCTGGGATTTTTCATAAGACTGGCTACTCAAACAAAGTTTTCTATAGACCCTTGAGATATTGCTAATTTGAAAAATTGCTGACATAAACTATTAAAAAATCATTCACAACAGGATCACATGCAATTTGTGGCAATGGTCATTACCACAAACAAGCCTTCACCATGGCTTGATGACAGCGTATCAGATAAATATAGCGATCAGATAACACCACTTAAACAACATCTGCTTGTGGTTGTACAGATATTGTTACAGATAATTTTAATCAAAGCACTTCAAACCAGCTCACTTGTCTAGTTTTTCCTTGGTAGCCTTCTTCTCCTCCTCCATAGCTCTGCGGATCTTGGTCATTTCTTTTTGTATTTGATCCTCTTCTCTTTTGAGTTTTGCTTGTTGCTCTCTTTCTTCCCTGAGCAAATGTTGACGAGCTTCTGCTTCTGCTTGCTTACGAGCTGCATTTTCTCTTCGTTTCTTTTCTATATCCTTCTGTCTTGCTCGACTTTTCTCTTTCACCTAATACAATGGTAGAATTATGTTTGCATTTAAGCTCTCAGGAGTGGAGTTGTTCACAATGCTCTTTTTTAATTGACAGGTTTCATTAACAAATAAACATGTATCTCCTGTGTCTTGAATTTTTGCCCTGGATGAAATACATCAAAACAAGAGTGACTGTGACTTTTCTTTCGGTTGTATCATAACATAACCTAAATTCTTAGGAGTTACAACAATTGCAATTAAAAAAAAAAAAAAAAAAAACAAACAAAAAAAAAAAAACAGCTATAATGTTCAGAGGGATGTTAGTGGGGTTTGGGTGAGGAGATGGGAGAAAATTGTTATGCCATCCCAGGGTTCTACCATCCTGGTTTTATATATCAACTATTTTGTCACGGATTTTAGTACAGTAACTTGACCTACATTATAAAGACATTTTTGGCTGCTTTTGTGTTTTGTGTTTCATCAAGAAAATTGTGAAACATTTTCACTAGCATAGGATTTAAATCTAAATTCCTTCTTTATTGTAGAGCCAGCTCAATTTTCTATCATTTTTAACTCTTTAACCCCCTAAGAGTGACCAGCCTCTAATTTCTCCTTACAATATCAACTCTGAATCATACATTAAGGTCATAAGAATAAAGGAAATGATCCCCAACTTAAGAAGCTCTTGATTGATAAACAAATTCTCCTTGTTAGCATCTTAAGAAATGTATGGAGAACAGTATGGAGAATATGCATAATGATATTAAGTGTAAAGGTTTAAAACAATGATTGTTGTATATTTATGATTATTAAAAGAATATCATCAAATTAATTTTAATTTCCTTCTTCATTGCAGAAAAAGCTTAACTTTCTATGACATTTAAACCAATGATGGTTGTACATTGATTATCATTAAACAAATATCATCAGAATAAGGTTTAATTTCCTTCTCTATACACAACCAGCTTAGCTTTCAATCATCTTTAAAACAATGATACTAGTACATTGGTGATTAACAGTACTAAAAGAATATCATCAGCTAAAGATACATGTAACAACTTCTATAAATTTGTGACTGATTCATATGAGGCCCACTGTACCTGTTTATGTCGCAGCTCCATCTTAGGCCTTGGGTCTTTTTTCTTTTTGCTGCCATCAAATCCTAAGTCATTCAAGATCTCTTTTTCAACAACATTCTTGTCCAACATGTCCCTTAGTATATGCTGAACTGATATCTCATCATTAAGGTCTTCATCATATTCTGCACCTACAAGCAATATGAACATGACAACTGAAGTCTGCAACCTGAAAAAATTCATTATTTTCCAGCAACAGTAATCTTTGTTAATACATGTGTATTCACTTTAATACCATTAATAATGTAAATGAAAAAATTGGGCACTTCTAGATGGGCTGAAAACAAGTGCATTCTCATCTAACAAGTGTGCAAGAGAGCAAAGTCGTAACAAGAGTGCATGGTTATAATACCAGGGTAAATTACAAATAGCGCACATGCTTTCAAAATCTTGTCTGTCTTGACTTTCTGTGATGCTTTTTTTTTCATGTAAATTATTAACAAGTAAAAACATGATCTTTCTTGCAATTTGGTGTCATAAGCACATGTAAATTTTTCATAGACTACAAACTGCACTTGCGTTACAGGCTTATTAACACCAAACTTCCCTCCAAATCATGTTATTACCTAAGTATACAAATTTTCTTGTGAAGAATATATCTTACCCATAGCATTAGGAACCTGGTTGCTATGATAACTGTTCAGTGTTGACCGGTCATGTGACTGTAAGAACAGGTCAGGCATATCCCTATAATCACTGTAATCATCATCAGTAACAGAGTTTCTTGTGACTTGTTCCAAGGGTTTGCCTTGCTGTGCCCACTTTTCATGCTTAAATTGCACTTCTAAATTAAATTGATCATCTTGATGTTTCTTTTCATGAAGCCAGGAATCCAATAAATCTTGTGCTGAAAGCAATGGGGGAAATAAATAAACCCACTTTGAGTAACAGTTCCATGATGCAATGTTATGAAATTATTTTTTTCCACAACAACAATTTTATTTCTCAATAAATTCTTACTTCAAACGTTTGGAAACACAGAGCAATGAAAACAACAACAATAAGAAAGCACTAAGGTGGTGCACACTGCTACACATTTTAAGATGAGTGAGCTCTAGGGGATACTCAATGATATTATAAGATTCTGGCCAACTGAGATATTTCAGAAAATAAATATTAAAAATACTGTTTCTCTTACCTTCCACCAATGCATCATCGTCAACATGGACTTGTTCTAGAACACTTTGATAATTGTTTCCAAAAACTTCTCTGGCAGCTTGAGTTGATTCTCTCTGTACTCTCTAGAGTATCAGTAAGGGATTTTTGTATAAATATAAAGGACTCAAGATCCTCTGCAATTCTTCAATAACTCACGTATGGATTTATAAAATTGTCAATGTTGTGCTGTGACAATACACATAAACTTACTACTATTATCCTCAGCAGTTGCTGAAGTTTGCTAACGAAAAGCAATGAAAATTCAGCGATTTAAACTTTTACCTTGATCCAATCCTGAACCTCACTTCGTCCGGAGTACTGTTGGAAATATGGAGTCTAAAAGTTAGCATTCGTTGAAATCAGAAATGTACGAAGTGTCAATTCTCTGCTATGAGCTCACCGTCTTGGGATTTGTTTGTCGGTTCCATTTAAACAGGTTTTGTCTCGCCCCTGCCATTGTGTATTCTTACAATTGTGGTTAAAGTGGAAATTTACGGCAGCAAACCAATAATATAAAATAGGACACCAGAAGATTTTTTTTCATGGACATCTCAAACTTTCCGCCATTTTGAATAATACCCATGAGGCACTGCCATCCTAACTACTACTCATTCTTCTTCGCGACATTTAGTCGACTATAAGTTGCCCAAGGGGGTAAAGGAGGGGAAAGAAATCGAGGCAAAAATTTAGCTCGCCAAGAAAGAGAGGAGTGTTAGGTATAAGAGAGATGGTAGCCTGGAAATAGTCTCTTTCTTTCGAAGAATTCGAAGTCCGTTCGATGAGGGCGCCTTTCCTAATGCCTTGTTTCTAGTAGGAAACTTGAAGGACCAACCAAAAGATGGAGGCTGTTAGTGCTTTAGAGAGATGGGCGGGAGTTCATGATATGGAATTTTTTTTAATTTGAAAGTCAGATTAGGAACCGAAATGGTTTATGGAAGCAAGAGATTCCCCCACCCTCCCCCCATTCCGTCCTCCTCCATGGGAGATCCATAAGGTATTATGTCGAGTCTAAGGCTTATTTGCTTTAACAAAAGATACTGGTGCCACCCTCAAAGCGTTCTTTACAGTTTGTAGAAAGTCTAATGTAGTCTCTATAAAGATCTTCTTTCATTGTTCAGGAACAGAAATATAATGACAAGCCTTTTGTAAACAGACTTTTTATTGAAAACATTTCGTTCTTTGATACTTGAAAAATGTTTAAATTTACATATAGCAAAAAAGACCGACCGAAACGTTCTGCAGAACTATTTGTTTTATCAGATTAAAAGAACATCGAGTCATAACATTTGACCAAAATCGCAATCTAAACGACGAAGTTCAATAATATACCAAACTAAGAGTGCCAAGGTTAAGGTCAAGTGTAGCACAAAAGTAGAAAAAAAAATTGGAAGTGGAAAATTACATCAGATTCCAATCACTTAATGTCGCACAAAAGAGCGACCCCTCTAAGAATCCAATGATCGGGACTCAGCACAGTCTTGAGCCACAGCGGGGTGATGTAAGTCAAATCAGTCCTCTGCGGTTTCTTGTATACGGGGCACTGGTACAGACGGGAGTCCTTGGGTGCTGTGGAGTTCACAGCATACACGTGTACCACAGGGAGAAGGGTGAAGAGAACTTTGGGCTGAGGTTCAATTAGTTTACAGCCACGGCGGTCCCAGCCGGCACCATCCAGGTACAAGCCATATATGTACACACCTTCCTGTTATGATAATAACATGAAAGTATTGTTAAAAGACATAGGTCTACGATGCTTATCTGAAGGGGCGCATATTAAAGGTTTGTGAATGTAAAATTTTGAGCGCTAGTCAGGGTAAATGTCTCATTCCCTTGAACTGTAAACGACATTGGACACCTTAGAGCCACTATCTACGTTAGCAATCCAACATGGCAGTCATCAGGGATCGGGGGAAAAGTACCCCCAGGAATTGGATGTTATTACCAATAAATAAATACTACCGAAACCCACCGATGGAGGGGAATTTATGTCTTCCTTCATTGCCCTGATGACATCATTGTGCAATACTACAGAGTCCAAGGCCCAACCCTTGTGCGCACGCGTGACCTCCTGTCTCATTGCTGTGAGAAAGCCCTGAGGATTGAAGAAACCAGTCATCCAGAAAACACTGGGTCGGCCATTGAAAATCCATGTAGAGAATTGGTTGTTCCTCTCCAGAAACTCTGTGAACCAGAAACCCAGGGTCGATGACTCCCACGAGATCTGAAGGGAAAAAAAGGCAAATTGTGTCCGCTATCACAGAATTGATTATTCTTGAGAATGAACCTGCCGTACAATGACACCGCATTCACGAAATAGTTCAGTCAGACTTTGTCTACTATCCTCTTTATCATTCTTTAAAACGAAAATGCCCCACCTTTCTCCACAGCGCAGGAATTCTAGCATCGTACATGTTGTCCAGTGCGTCTCGTAGATTCTATTGTCAAGGATATAAAATTAGTTTCAAGCACATTTTGACATCCGGACTGGGTTTTATAAGCTTTCCCTTGAGTTCAATTTGATTTAGTTTATGTTTTGCTTTTCTTTTTCTTTTGTTTACTTGTCTCTGGAAAAAATAACGAACATGAAGCTCAAGTTTAGAAACAAAAATTAACAGCGACATCACTGAGCGATTTCATCGTAATTTTAAACTGATCATCCCTATAATTTCTATTTAAACTAATGGAGTATTCGCTTTCTTTAACAAACGTTTTCTCACTAGCACATATCGCCAATCAAATTTTTCCTTTGAATGATGATTGCGCAATTGTGCTGTTCACTGGCAAATTGGGCAGCCACTTAAAAAAAGAGCTTCGTTTAACGTTAAAAGATTCCTAAATACCTCGCTCATTATAATTGTTCCTTCTATAGCCAGCTTTAAGTCAGTCAGGGTCTGCCGTACCAAAGTGATAACTCGCTGCATACGGTCGATCTCTTGTCTCAAAAAGATGTTCATGGAAGCAAGAGCTCCCATTTTCTGCAGTCGCGCTCTCACCTGCACACAGACGAAGAATGTCAAAGTGTTTCGTCTCGCATCTCATGGAAAAGAACTCAAACTTTCACTACGATAAAAACATCTTTCTTACCTCGTGTGGTACGTAATCATTCGGAAGTTTATCCAGCATGTCATCTGCTTGTCTGGTGACTACACTCTCACGAGTCTCCCCAGATCCTCCCCCTGAGTCTTTAGGTTGGATGCTCATGATGGTGTCCAGAACCTCTTTAGCTGTATTGCTCTGGTATCTGAAAGGCAAGTAAAGAGATAACAAGACAACTGATATTAGAAAATTTGTTGAAGAAATAAACTAAGAAATGAGACCAAGTCGCAGGAAATACGACGGTAGCAGTTCTTTGTTGCAAAGGAGTGAATAGAAGTAGCGAATGAGAGTGAGGAATGTTAGCGCGGATGCTGTGGATTACAAGGGGATAAAACTACGGGTAAGTGAAAGGACATTCTAAAGCAGACCTCGAAATTACGGCAGCTCAATGGACAATGTCCTGTCAAATATAGGTTTTCTGACACTAGTCTCCAAAATCAGACACTAGCGTCAAAAATCGGACATTAGTGTCCAAAATCAGACGCTAGTGTTCAAAATTGGACACTAACGTTCAAAATCGACACTAGTGTCCAAAATCGGACACTTGCGTCCCAAATTGAATAGTTTATCAGCTTGCTAACTATAGTGGGTATAGATGTTTAACGGTATGCATAAATCTGAAACAACAAATTAACATTGATTTTGCCGAACGTTACGGCTGTATCGCTTTTCCTGTATTGAGTTCTAGGCTCCTTGTGCAAGAAGAGGAGTGAATAGGTTTATTTTATTAAGTAGGAGGGGGGAGGAAGATTTATTGAGATACTCATTACATGGTGGATATTTCTCTCGCAAAAAATGGATTGTATCTGATAAAAAATAGCTTTGATGGGACAACCTGACAGGAAATTATTTCGAGTCTGGTAAAGATAAACTGCGGAGAGGAAATAAGCCAAACACATTTCCTGTCTACACTCTATATGCCTATTAAATTTTCTAGTTTGCCATCCGTCTTTTCACAGCCGTTCCTTTTAACGGATGAAAGAGATGAATTCCCCAAATAAAAATACTGAGAGATGGCAATTGGAATGTATCATGTTGATTTGTGAATCGTAGTTTGTTTGTGAAAATGAAAAGAAGATTAACTTACGTGATATCTGCATTTGGGTGCAAGCCAAACACTTGAGGCGTGTCCACAGATGGGAGAGCTTGAATAGCCTCGAAGAAATTCTCCAAACTACGACACTTAGGGATCTTGTAACCAGTGTAGAAACAGAAGTCTTCAGTGAACATGTGCTCTCCGAACCACACCTGAAACAAAACCACGACGTTAATGCAATGACAAATGTCGCGGTTCTTTAGTACAAGAAGGACGTTGTGGTTCACAGATTAACACCCTTGACTGCAGATCGAAAGGTAATGATGTCGTGTGTCAGGAAAGCTATGGGAGTCTCGAATAAAGACTTTTTCTTACCCCGAAAAATGTTGGCGACAATTGAGTCCTAAAGTTGATGGGCCATGCTTATACATTTGCACATGTGTGGGGTTCTTTGTCGATCATTTAATTCCGTTTAGCCGCATATTGAACTGTTTTATCGTCGAATAGTTGTAAGAATCGAAAACCACAGGACACAAAAACGAAATTAACGAAGATCACTGACACGAAGTGGTTTGAGGAAAAAAGGAATTCTCGACAATGCTATTACCTTAGCAAATGTGTTCAACAGGCGCTTGTCATAATCATCCGTGACCCTTCCTCCGTACTGCACTTCTCCCAGCATGTACCTCACTGTATTCCAAGACACGCCCTGTACAAATGAGAAAGGACTTACAGTTAAGGTGACGTTAAAATAACGAAAAGGAGATTGTAAGTTTAAATCGCGAGCTGAGTACCTTTTTGGGATCGATATCATCCAAGTGGTTTTGGACAAACTGCACACTCGCGGCAAAATCGGCCTGATTGAACTCGTAAGGGATATTCCAGCCCAAAGGACCAAACTTACGCCTTTCCTGTTGAAATGGAATACGTCACTGACAAAATATGTTGAAAAAGAGCTTCAACCCAATAACGGACTAAGAAGCCGTATATTCAAAATATCCCCTTTAAGGCAGAGCAAAACAGCCACAGCTTTTGGAGGCTTTGACAGCAGGAGAGCGGTAAAAGAAATAATGAACGTGCAAACTCCGACAGTTTTTGTGTCGACCTCAATAGCTGGGATAAATGAGCCAACCCATATCCGTGACAGCAATGAGACACTTGCGAAAGGGTAAATGTAGTTTTTTAAACTAACAACAATACGTTATCTGCACTGCACTGGTGCAAAAAGTTTCCGGTAAGGTTTTGAGTAGAGAACATCTCTCCTGACCTGAACGACAGTATGCAAGAAAGCAACAGCATACAGAGTTGGCTTCCACTGAGGCATGTTAGTGACATCCAACTGATCTTGAGTAATGCCAGCGTAAGTTCTCTTCAGTCCTGGTTTCACACCTTGTGGCGGCTCATTTGTAAATTTGATTGAAGACTACGAGAGAAACAGCCGTACTTAAGTTATATTCATAAATGGTTCTTTGGGTTTGTGAGCAAATGGGAAAATTCTTTAACATGTGATGTGTTTTGTAACAGCTAAACGTTTAGAACAAAACATAAAGCTAGTTATTTAAGAAGAGATCAAGTCCTTCGCGACAGCAATGCTTCTTGTCTCTTGAGTATCTTGGAGCCCTCAACAACAACTCCGGCCCTATTCGCACATCTCCAGATGTCTCCTAAGCCGGGGATTCATCCTCCGTTTTACACACGAAGGCGAAATTTTCAAGAACAAGTACAAAAAAGAAGTTTCAGGAAATAGAAGACAGGAAAAACTTTTCATTATTCACACTGGAAGGTATAAACCACAGCCTTACCTGCAGAAGACTGATGGGAAACTGGTTGTGTGCCTCTGTTGTGATCCAGACTCTAAAGCCCTCGTGGGAAGACTCTGAAGTAGTCACAGTCTCCAGAAGCTCATCCATGAAGTTCAATCCAAGGTGACAGTTCTGTAAGAGGACCCAGCCTCCCTACAGTTTTAAAAGAAGACTTTTATAATTTCTAAAGGTGTACCATTTGGGGAGGTAGAGCACAACCAAGCAGTTGAAACACCTTTTTACAAAAGTGACAAAATTTGGTTGCAACTAATAAACATTAGGCTACCATAACCTGGAAATTATAAAAGACACTTTCAGAGACTAACAACGAAACTTCATCATTTCAATCGCAGAAAAGCGGTAAATCTAAATGGAAAGAAGGATGGTGAACGCCAATTCTATTACCCGAAATATTTTGAATTTTCTCGGTAAATTGAGCTGTGTCTATATTTCCAGCCACGACAACAAAAAAGGGCACAAAAAAATATTTTACATAGAGGGAAGAGCATAACATACCCCAGCCATAGACTGCTGAAGAAGTCTTCGGGCGTGAACTTCTTGCCCTTGGCCCATGGAGACTGCACGACACTCTACAAATACAACCATGAAACCATTCCACAAAAATTCATCTCTAACGCTAACTGCTACCCTTGAGTTCCAATGAACTTGACAATACAACAACAGACTTGTTACGTACCGATTCCCTTGCGTTTCGCCAGGTTCTCAATGGCACCTGTAGGGTCTGAGCCCATGGAGAGGAAGCAGATGAGTGGCGTTTGGGGATCACTCTCTTCCCATGTGGCTTCCAAGTTGAGAATGACGCCTTCAGCGTACCTTTCACCCATGGTGTCAGCTATGTACTTGCGGGCCTGGTGCAGCGTTCGATCTGGACACCATGACCTGCATAGGACCATTATCTTGGATTAGCATTGAGCATACACGGTCATTTCCCACAATAAATTAGATAAATTAGAATGAATAACACCCCTTCTTACCTGACTAGTAACAGTTTCCTGAAGGTATCCAGGGAACTATCGTATCCATCAGGAATGGTGCTCTCTTCAGGTGCGTCTTTATCGAACCACTGCTTCCAGCCGGAATCGTTACGACGAACCTTAAAGATGTTGTGCATTCCTTATCAGTCTTTAATAGCGGGGGCTTTTAACAATAATGGTATAAAAGAATCTACATTTCTTAAAAATCCTTAAAAAGAATATCCATCTCAACTGATCAAATTTAAATGGTCAAATTTAAGGACGAATAAACTATTCCCTTCAGATAACTACAACTCATTTCAAAATGCGGCTTAAAGAGACTTTCTTAGTTGCCATTTTCAACCGAAACCATTTTATGCTTACTATAGCCATTCAAAAGTTGTAGATAGTCTCTAAGACATTTATTCTGCTTCATTAGGAACAGTCGTTTTCCATCTTCGTAAGAGTCACGTTAATAATCTGCAGTCTTCTTCTCCTTGGCTGCCTTTACCTTCATCTCCTACCTATTATGTTTAGCTGTCTAACACACCTGGTCTAACACGCCTGAAAACTGAGGTAACTTGCTGAGCTCAACTAAGTTCAACCATGTCATGTCCATGATCCATTTGCTGGGTTTGGGTTGTACAGCCTTAAGATCAAGAGCCGCGCCACCTTAACCAGAACAATCACAGGTTATCACCCACTCTAGCGCTTAACCTTATTTTAGTTGTGTTTAACATGTTTGCGTTTTGACGACGTGACGTGACGTCATGAACTGGCTTTTAGGCCTTTTTCTCACCGCACTTGCTTAGTTTAATACGTTTTCCCGCGCAACGCCCTATATACATGCTTTCCCGTGACTGGATGCATTTTCATCCGAGCTTTGCAACAATTAAATCTCAATTACTTGACGTTTATATGTTTGGCAACGCTCACAAGTAACTTGTACAACTCTTGGGTTCTAAGTAGCTCATCGTACTCTCAGTCTTTATATCGATTTTCAACTCAGTGAGTTAGTAGTCCGAGTAGTTCGAATTAAAAACTACTGGACAGAGTTAATACAAGGTGTTATAATAATAATAATAATAATAATAATAATAATAATAATAATAATAATAATAACAATAACAATAACAATAATACAAGAACCATAATTCTGTCTAGCCCGCTTGTCTCTAACTTCCTCCTTCATTTGTTCTTCTACACGCTTACCTTTTATAAGAGTCTGGAATTCCAGCACCTTAACCTTTCCGCCTTGAATATCAATCTTGAGGGCCAGAAGCAAGGTGAACAAAAACTTGTGGTTCTCGAATAGGCCACGACATGAATACTTGAACACCTCATACGTCAGAAACTCGATGATGTTCTGAATTCTTTTAGCTGGGATCGGTGACTTTTCGGACCTATCGGTGATTGGAAAGAAAAAAAACGTCAGTCTTGTCTTTGTTCAACTATGACCTCCCTCTCTGTTAAATAAACACATCACCATAACCTTATTATTTCAAAATTCCAAATTATTTCTTTAACATGAATCTTTTTACATGAATTTCCTCTTTTTTCACTGAAGTCTAAAACGAAACACGTGTCTCTGTCGCTCCTCCTTAGGTTGGCTGTGTCAGTAAGTCTTCTGATGATTTCAGCATTCAGAGACCACTGTTTATCTGGGCGAAAGACGAACACAAAGATTAACCTGATTGAAGTTGAGAATTACAGTGCCCTTAATCTTACGAGTAATCACATCACTAACCTTGCCATGGACAAATCAAAGATCCCCAAGAACTGTTTCAGCGAAGTCTGGTACATAACATTCACCATACTCATCTCAACAATCAAAAAGTATAGAATGGAGCCGCGCGTAGCTACAGGACGAAACTCCTCACGAGCTAAGTTGATCTTGACTTCTGTCTCAGCAGCCACAGCAAGCTTCTCACTCACTTCCTCTGCTGTCTCTTTGGTGGTCTTTAGTACAGCTACCAGAGATTCGTCCTCAACTAACGAGCCCTATGGGAAAAAAACTGCCAGATCAAATAATTTTTAAATGTAATAGACAGGAGCACCTTTTTCTCCATATCACCGCATTACATACTCGACAGGGTCGTTATGGCTCTCGGTGGGAGGAGATGGGGAGAAGGGCAGGGACGGCGCGGTACTGAGAGCGCTTGCCGTCTGTAACTGTGGCTTGTATTCAATTCTGGACCCTTGCATCCAGTGCGTATTGGTCAATATTGTTCTCGATTCTAATCCTTTCCCCGGCGTTTTCTCTCATATTCACCAAAGGTAACAGTCTAAATTACAAATCCCTTTGGAAACAATGAGAGAGGAGCCACTTTGCGCACACTCCACTACTAAAATTCAAGTTGCTACTAATTTTCAATTTTCCCTCCTAAAGGACCCGTTGTTAATATAAGATATAAAGACCCTCGAAAAACCACAGAAAACTATATAATCATGACCGAAACTGAGGCAATCCCAGAAATATCACGATTCGAGACAGATCATTCCACAGGTAAATGGGTTGGGAAATGACAATTAAAAAGAATTCTGTTGATTAGGAGTAACGAGTTAATAACACCAAACACTTTAACAAAATGATTTGTTAAGCAGTCTTCAGCAGTTCGAAGTACTTTTGTTTGCAAAGTGGTAGAAGAGCGTAAGTGATTCCGAATAAATTCTTTTATAACGTAACATTACACAGGAAACCAACTGACCTGAGTACTTGTCAGTCTGAACAACAAGTTATCCTCAAGCTCCTTCATTTTTCTTTTGTTTGACGTAACGTCCTCCATCAGTTTCACTCGCTCTGCTTCTAGTTCCTAGATTCAAAAGAACATTGGAAAACAGGCTGAAGAGATTAGAGAAGACTACAAAAGAACCTGAAACGTAAAAATGACATGCTCAATGGTGGTATTAAGCCATACGTCGCGCGGTTTACCTCTTTTTCTGTGTTGATAACTCTGCCGAGAAGCTGTTCTTCCAAGCCTTTCATTGTCACCGTGAAGTCAATAATGGCTGTTCGTGCACTGACCTAAAAGAGAGAGACAAGAGTCCTATTCCAGGCTTAAAATAACGAATTTACAGTTGGTTCAGGCGCCAGCGTGCGTTCGTCGAAATGTGAAGTTTGCAGGTTTTAATAACCTGAAAAAACGCACAAGAGTTGGCAGACTTTACAATGCGCACAATCAGGTCATTAAGGTATAGACTAACATTACAAAGCACGTTTAAACAATTGAATTTGGCTTCGCGAATCAACTGGCTGTGACGGAGGTATAAGACTGGTTGTTTACTGGTTTAATCTGTACGTACCTCAGGAGTGTATGACGGGTTTCCCAGTTTTGTCGTGATGTACATTCTGAAACCGCTCATGACATCACATTCTTTATCCCCCACTTTGACCTAGGAAATGGAAACGAAAAGATATTTACCAACGAGTTTGTTACATTAAAAAAGTTTTATCGTGCTGCGCAAGCAAGACTCGACCAAAAAAGCCTTACAATTAACAGTGATCATGTTGTAGAAAAAGAGCCAAGAAACTACAGTTCTCATATTTCCAAGTTCGAAAATGCGGAAATTGCTCTCCGCTTATGGCGTGGGCTGCCTCGCAGAAGTAGCGCGCGCTCTTTTTCTTTGCGCGTGCTTTAAATTGTATAAGATTGTGTCGTCATCATTTACTGACCGTTACTTGTCTTTTAAACACTTGAATGCTCTGAAGCGTTTTGAGAACCGGTCCACGCTTGACTCAAACAAAGACGTTGCTTCTTGGTATATAAGGTAAGCCATAAAATTTTCCACAGTGAACGTATTTATCTTAAACACGTTCATCGCAATTATTACTCCGCGGCACTTGTAACTAAGGTTATCAAAGTCGTCTTAATTTAGCTAAAACATATCTCATCTTGCTGGGTTTTCCTTGCCAGTTCGGATGATTTTCTCTACTCACAAAAGTTTTCGAACCTTATACGTAGAACCAGACTTGATAAAGTTCTTCTCCAGCACATTATCCAAAGCAGGGTCCAACTCCTCTCCGACGTCCTCAATGAGAAGGGGCCTCCCAAGAGACAAAGAGTCTTCTAGGTGATTTCGGAAGTACTTGTGGTTGAGAGATGTCACCTAGTAAAAGCAGATTAAAAACCCTTTGAGAATACGATTAAGATCTAATACCTTTGTCAGTTAGAGAAACATTCCATGAGAGTGACACTGTTGGGTAAACTGGCAGCTTTAATGGCAATATGAATATTTTGTAGTGGAAATTTTAATCTCATTTTTAGTCAGAAGAAAATCTTGAAAAGCAGCTTCAGACTGCATAAATCAATATAATGAGCCTTAAGCGTAAAAAATTCCACTTCATGTCCATTCTCGAACTTGCCTTTGTTGGGTGTATAACCCAGACAGATAATTACACATGATCATTAAAATTGTTATCGTGTTCTTTAAGCTCCTCCACGGAATTAATTTCTTGAGTACCAGAATTTTTGCACGTGCTAAACGATTAGAAAAGTCTTGAACTTTGAGTATACTTCTGATATCATACTATACTATAAACCTCTGAGAAATTTAACAATTTTCCCGCACCTGCAATTCATTTTCTTTCTCTCTACTCATGATCCAAGCCTTGCCTTGTGTTTGCGGGTCAATAAGAAGAGGATATCTCGTTGCCTTGGTAACAATGATACCATTCTGAATAGAGAGCTCGTCGCTAGGTAACCCGTGAAGATTCCACTCACCAATCTGTAAAGAGGAGCCTGGCTTTCAAACTCATTAAATAACATAATAATCGATGCGCACAAAGGTTAAGAACGATTCTCATTTGACTCCCTTCCACCAAAAAGAAATAATCTCGACCACCTTCGAGTGCATAAACAACAAATTTCAAATACAGCCAAGGGACTCTCAAAATATTACTCTTCAAGGAATATTACAACGCCTAATATGAAATTTGTCGTTTCAATCCAATCAAGTCTCCTCCATCTTAAGTCAATTTTTCTAGTATTTTATTTTTGGCTTGTTGTTCTTGTATGTTCTTTTTCTTCCTTGAAAAATTTTCATTTTCAGGCATCGAAATAGAGCGAAATACATGGATCGCGATAAGGATTTACAAACAAAGGAGACTAAGTTGTGATTGATCTTGCATACTTTGTACTTATCCTGATGGTCGTACAGTTATGTACGCGATATTTTAAACCAATATGGGAGCAAGGTGAACCAATCCCAAAGCAGATCCGTATTGCTGGAAGACAAACTTTTGAAACTCGATGTATCAGATCGTTTGAACTCGATTAGTACACACTCAAAAAACAATTTCACCACACACCGTAGCGGCATCTGTTAGCATATTGATGAGATTCAGATTTTCTGAGAAGGGGATCTTGTTCTTCGTCATTTCCTTCTCCCACCTGCTCAGCAATAGGTTACGGAAGTTTTGGTTAAACGGTCCTAAGTATGAAAGGAAGCCTGTGGCCAGCAACACATCTCCAACGAGCCTAGAAGTAAATAAACCGACAAACATTCATTCCAACACGTTCTTATATTTAACACATATTCATCAAATATCAAAGGATTTTTCTGCACGGTCAAAGATTATTTACGAACGTTTACGTGGTAGTCAAAGAAAGATGTGCAAATTACATCTAAATTCTTCAAATCAAATGACAGCAACACAAGTACCTTATATTCGGGAGTTGTTTTTCATTGAGTGCAGTGAAGCCAAAAATAGTGATCGCTACAAAAATCTGAGCAAAGCCGGTAAATATCACAAATAGCTGCACTTACTTTACAGTTAAACCAAGCGCAGGGAAATAAAATTAAGTGATCACGTGCTTATGGATTTTAGTTTTGCAACTGATTGGTTGAGAATGTGGCGTGAGTTTTCTAGGCCAATCATAAACGTCATGAAGTAGAATCAATACAACAAATCTGCTTCCCGATTGTCTTACCTGCCAATTTGATCCTGAAACTCTTTACTCTGTTGAGTCCACCGAACCTTCTCACCTCCCAAGCCTGTAATGAGCGCAGAAGCAGCTTGCATTTTGTTCTTACATGATTCAGCATCGTCAAGCAACTCCTGTCGTAGTAATAAAAAGCCATTTTCAGAGGACATTTCAAGGATAAACTTCTTTTAAAAGCATCTATCTGGAGTAGTGTTCTGTCAATTATTCCATCACATCTTGATCGCTTTTTCTGCTGGTTCTGACATTTACTTTTCAGTTAATTTCTCCACACAGTAATTGAAACGACTAGCAGCACCTTGCAGAGACGAAATTGGAGACCTGCACGGAGCCCCATGATTGTAGATTAGTCTAATGTCAACACAGGAAACCGGGATGTGCTCCAGTCGTTCCACATAGCGATAGGCTCTAAACCAAATACCTAGAAGAATATTTTAAAATACACGTTAGTAGACGCCGTTGTCACCTGTTTCTCCCTGACAGCGGCATCGTACATTGCTTGCACTTTGTCCAGTTCCCGCTGCTTATCATCCAATTGAGCCTGTGCACTGTTCAGTTCAGCGGCAGCCACTTTGAGTCTTGCCTCCTGTACGACGAGATTAGCCTGGAAAAAACAGACACAATTAAAGAAATAACCCATTAAAAAATAAATGCAAATGTTTCCTTCATTTCCTTCCAATGGCATGCTTTTGTTTGCCAGCGTGACGTGGTGCTTTCAAATATTTGTCCATACAGGAAACTTGTGTGAGTTTTGTTTTTTTGTTTTTCCTGATGGCGCGAATCTAAATTGTGAGTCATATCAAGTCTCTTAAATCTAGTCACCGATCAGTGCCTAATGAGGGGACTCCAGTTGTGAGTTAATGCTCATGTGCAATTTAATAACCATAAAGCTTTTAGTGAGATAAACCAACTCTCTTGGATGCAGCCACTCAACTAGGCGGCTCCTCTCTCTTCTTGTGGCTCTTTCCTTCTTCTCTTCTCGTACAGCTTAGTTGGAATAATAAGCCATTCATCTTCAGAACTTCTTTACGCGGAATGACCGTAGTACCTGTGTACCATTTCACTGCCTTGGGTCATTAATAAAGGCATTGAAGACAGTCTGCATAACAACAATAAAGGATCTAATATCTCCTTTTGCCCCTCCATAGCTTACCTTCAGAGGTAAAACCTCTTTGTTCACTTCATAGAAAAAAGCCATCGCACATGTCCACGAACACAATCCTGCCACATTGCCACAAACCTTTAAAAGAAAAACAGAGGAACGGAAAGTGAGTATTAAAAGGAAGCCCTGGACATTTCTGTAAAGCATTCTTTACGACCAAAGTGACAAACCTTTTTAGCAGTTTCTAAGTTGTAGTCTTCCATCGAAAGGTAGGGTTGAAGTAATTCAACAGCTTCCTCGTTGATTGTGTCTTTTGGAAAGTTTACTAAATTTTGAAGGAATCCTCCCTGACTCATAAGCTATACGAAAATTTGATACATTAGTGTTCATTCACTGTAACATAATAAAAAGTAAAAAGTCAAATAATAATAATATTAATCATCATTAAAATAATAACGATAAAAATAATAATGGTAACGAAAATAATAATTATAATAATAACTACGATAGTAATGATAATAATAAAAACAAGCTCTCTGTAAATTTCCCCTGTCACTTTGCTCAGCTTTAAGAAATCTCCAAATGACAAAATGTCAGCTTTCTTTTGATTTACTTCTTTTATTCAAGCCAGGACGCGGCCATGAGGTAAATTATCTTTTTCTTGTAAGATTGCATGGCGATCTGTGGCGAACTATTACTCTTATCTTCTTTTTTTGCATTAAGATTTTAGCACTTTTCTTTCTGTAAAAGAAATATAGATCAATACTAGAGCATAATTAGGAACAAACATAGAAATTCGAATCAGGTAAATCCAATCATAAGGCTCTTTCAACGAATTACTTACAAGTTGCTACAGGTCCAGATCGAGCATCCAATCGCTTCATGTTTTTAATATTGAACAGATTCAGTCAATAGGTGACCTTCAAGACAGAAGATTACCTCATTCCGAGTTACGATTTAATAACATATATGGCGAGGATAGTTGCAAAACCTAAACAATGTCTCACATCGTAGAGAGTAAATATGAATGGTGTCACCTTAAGAGATTCACTCCAACTGGGTGTAAGACACTGCCTCTCTGCATCATAGATAAATGGGGATACTGTACGTCTGAAGAGAAGTAACACACAGTCCATGATGCGCATGATCAAATGAGGTGGTTTGGCCAGTTTACGAACAGTAGATATGTCAGCAGCTTTGATAGTCTGGCGAGACAACAAATTAGTTACCATAGATAAGGAGCTTGAATTGCAGTTCGTTCCTGGAATTTTACTTGTCGTAAGGCAAAACAATAGGCTATAGAATAGGCAGTAAAACAAGCGCAAAACCACAAACGTGATAAAATACCACACCGAAATACCCACAAAATGTAATTCAAAACGGGTTTTAAATCGTAAAATTCCACCGAAGTACCCACAATATGTAAAATTTGAATTGGATGTAAAGTTATATTTTATAGGCATCAAACAATACTTTCGGCCAACCCTGTAACTATGTAGCAGTAAACTGGAATAATAAGCTCCAGTAAAATCCACTTTACAGGGATTGAAGAGTGTGTAAGACATAGGGCGTAGGAAGAGAAATGGTTAGTGGCTGAATTAGTGAGAACAAATTCAATTAGTGTATGGCAAACCTAAAGAGCATAAGGTCCTGTAAAATTAAAAATGTAACCGGTTGAGTCACGTGACACATCTTAAAGTTGTTCCGCCAAACCTCCCAGATACCGCTATTGGTGTTTCATAAGAAATTATATGGTCATAACGAATAGGAAGTCAGACAAGATCGTTTTTAAGGAACGAAGGACGGACATATAACAGAGGATAATGACGGAGTTCTGCCCTAATTAGCCTGAATACAAATTAACCACGCTCCATTTGCACCAACCTGTAGGGCTGACTCAGCTTCCTCCAGAGCTGGCTTGGCTGCTGACAGCTTCTTTTCCGCAACAGCTTTATCAGCCTAATTAAAAACGTTGCACTCATTTTGTTTTCAATAATAACCTTTCACCGGCGACATACCTGACAATTTTTTCGCTAATCGCTGCGATCGACGTATAAAATCGCCGATATCTGGCATGTGAGATATAATATAGGCTATAAAATACGTGTGTCGCCAACTTTAAGACTGCCCGCTCGCTCACGGCTTGAATATGGGATGTTTTTTTTGGCAAAGGGCCATGCAAACTTCACAAGGTATTATCCAAGGTATACTTGCAATTGAAAAAAAAAGGAAAGGACATTCATATTAATGATGAGAACTAGATTGAAATTTACCATCGCTATGACATTCTACAGCGCCAAATTTCCAAACGTTTTCATTCCAAATGATAAGGATTCACATCAGCAGTAAATGTTTACTCCGGCCAAAAGATCGACATTCGATCGAAAATGAGCAAATAAAGCCAACAACCTTGACTAACACAGACTAAATCAGGCACTTGCCTCAATTTCATCCACGATCGCTTGAGCTTTGTCTTTCACTTTCTGTACCGAGGCTTTAACTTTCTCGGCGGCTTGAGCACTAACGGTCACCTCCGCCAGTACCTAGGTAAATCACATGAATACCCCATGACTGCAGTGACGCAATAAGGCAAAGAGCAATACTTCAAAAACCAGTTATTTTGGCTATGCATTTTTTACTCGTTAAAGAATCGATGAAAATCGCAAAGGCATAACGGAAGAAGTTAATCATTTACTGAGAGCGTTGGGCAAAGAAACGAAGTAGCGCTAAGCCTCAGCCAGTTATGATTTCGCGATAAGATACGCCATTCAGCCGAACTACCAAGAACTCGCTGGGAAGCCAGGCAACGACGAAAGCTTATACATGACATTCGTCTTGTAAAGTATTACAATATACGATATAAAAAACGTCCAGTGCAGAATGAGAAAGAAGATACATTTTACGCTCGGTCAGCTTACAGGCCGGTTATTTACACGAGGTTTAACCCAAACCACGGTTTTACGCAATCAGTGGGCCTCAGGTTTTCTCTACAAGAAGAGCTGATTTAATTTTATAAATTTCCTTCCACTGTTAGCTTTCGGTCCTCTTTACACTGTTCACAAAAATAAATTTTCAGATGAAAGATTCAGCTCAGTGACGATTGTTTAGGACGAGGTTTGGTTAAACAGTGGCTAAACTATGTATAGCTAACCGGCCCTACCAGTTTGGAGAATCTGCAACTTAGCTTCAGCCCCAAAAAATTGTACAGTTTGAGCCAAACCCGTACAATTTTCGAATTCGCAATCGGTATGACCAAGTCGACAATCACATCTACACGACAACACTTAAGGAATAATTATATACTTTGTCAGCCTTGACTGAGGCAACGGCGAGTTCCTTCTCTTTCACAACTAGCTCCTTTGCCAGCTCCGCCACTGAGGCACTGGCTTCAACCAGTTTATCAAGTCCAGTGTTCATACGGTTCGCAAGTTCGCCAATCTGTGATCTCTTCTCGGCGTAGATGGTTTTGTACCCGTCCACAAATGACAGGTACGATTTGGGAGTCACGTGTGTTTGACGACGGAACCTGGAAAGTGGCATAAGCAAATAAGAGATGAGACAAAAAGTTTCTTCATATCAGAACTAGTGTTAGAAATTTAAAGCCGGTTATTTGAACTTTGAGGAAGTATGTTGAAAATAAATCAACTATGAGTACCCATACCTCTGAGTCATAAAGTGACTCAAAAGTTGGAAAATAAACGCAGTAGCAATACATTTTGACATTTTCTTGCCTTTCAAAATACTCGACGCAGGCCTCAGCCACTCCATCATGGAAGGTTCCCATGGTCTGCACCACACTATTCTTAATAGCCGCCGTGCACGTGATGTCGAACTTGGACAAGAAGTAGTCTGCCACTGCAATCAATGCATCCTTTGGCCAGCGGGTAAACCAGTCCATGGTACAACCACTAATCAAGCCGGGAAACTTCAAAGAGCGGTTTCGAAATTTCTCTCCAACCTGCAGTAAAATTAAATAGAGTACGAAATCGAGAACTACTGAAAAACGCCAATTTGAAAATAAGATGCAACAAATACTCTTAAAGGTAATCAAAATTAAGACATGAAAGGGAGCCGCTTTGACATTCTCTCACCCAGTTTAGGAGAGTGGTAAGGTATGGTAAACGATGGTTGAAATTGAGAACCTCTGAAAGTATCTATTTCTCGTAATCATTGCTCCGTTGTTGTGTATTGAGATACCGATCTGCTACTGTTCTACAATAAACACTTTTTAAGGGTTGAAAGTCGAACAATGCCAGAGAGGTACAAGTTACAATTCGTTTATCTTGCTTAAAATAATTGCTTTTTAAAATAAACATTATTCCGCTTCTACCAATTTCTACCGAGTCTTAAAAATGAATCTCCTGCATTACACTGTTGAAGTGCAGCAAGCCAATAAGAGCCCTAAATTATTCCCGACGCTACACCCCGTTTTTTTAAGGGACTTAAAGGAATAATTGAGTAAAACCTACGGGTGAAAAACATAAAACCACATGCAGATTCTTTCTGGAGCGCGAGATGAAATAGCTGTACAAGTTATCATTGGTTGGTGGAACTCGCGGCATCTCCTTCTTCATGACTCCGATGAGACCTTGAGTTATTTCGTCCAGCTCGTCACGAGCAAATAAGTTAGATACCTGACGATAGAAGAAATCATTGATGAAGCCGCATTTACGTTGGAAGTTATTCCTAAAGGTGTAGATTGAAAAATGTGACAAGTTTTTCCTTAAAACGTCCTCTATTCTACAGCCTGACTAGCCTCTATTGTAAAAAGGAGACTTGTCCGGGACTGGTATAAATCAGTTCCATACAATGACAATTACCAAGGAAATTATTAAAGGATAAAGAGAGAGAGTTCTTTTGTAGCAGTTTTCCCTCGACAAATCCATGTGTTATTTTCAAATTTTCCTTATAACTGTATTTAGCATTCACAAGTCCACTTCCCAAAGAAAACTCACGACTATAAATAGGACATCAGTTTGAAAAAAATTCTACCAAAAGCAGTAACATTTGGAGGAAAGACCACAGCCGTAGTAAAACGCTTCATACCTCTCCGGAAGAAAGCACATTGTTCAGATATTCCAGGAAACTCTCATCTTTGATCTCATTATCAGTGAAGACAAATGTAATGCCTTTTCCTTCAGAGCCTGCGACACGGTACAGGTATTTAAGGTCCTCCATCAAGTTGCTGACATTGTATGACCTGCAAATTTGACCAACAGATGTGACGTTGAATTGACTGAGCTCTTAGTAGCTATAGTTCAGTAAGAGTGTAGCGGCAGTGCAAAAACCTGCGATGAGCTTTCGTCCTAGGACGCGAAACTAGCGTTAAACTAAACTAGTATTAAAAAATTTGTAAAACTGGCTGGCCAGGGAATGGTCACCTCTTCTAATTTCCAGAAAACGAGACCCTACCCCCACCACCACTCTCTTACCCTTTGAAAACCATGACCAATAAATCTCAAACCTGTAAAGTGAATTGAATGGGCAATAAAGCTTGAATCAGTTCATGAAAAGAGAGAAGTTATTTTTTTTTATTGCACATATGTAGACTTTTAGTCCCGTGAATGCTGCAAAACAAAACCGAGTCGTAACAGTTGAGTATGGCTTCACCTTGTAAGTGTAATCTGGAAGATTTTGTATCCAGCGATAAAAGAGGCTAGTCTTGTAAGAGATTGTTTGCCAGACCCTCCTACTCCAACAAGAAGGGCGTTGCCACACGGTGTGCGGATAATACGGGAGATCTGATAAGAAAAAACAGTTTGAATAGCCCACGTGGCGCACAGAACAGTACAAAAAGTATCTAGGTTTTGAACATTCGGATCTGCACTATCTGATGTGAAACAGATAATTATACCACATACAGGCAGATGAATGTTCATCTCAACTGAATGTCACATGAAGTCATGGTTAAGAGGACAAATTGGTTCCTCTCTCGTCTATCGCAAGGCTTTTTGTCCCACCACATGGGAAAACAAAGTTTACCTTTACGAGATGAGTCATTGCATCTTTGAAAAACACCAGATCTAGGTTTGCTCCTCGAACGGTATCGTTATACATCGCCATGTACTGGCCTAGCTTCTCATTCAAAAAATCCAACGTCGGCACCTGCAAAACACAAGAGCCACTATAGCAATGCATGTCTTTTTCATTTGCAAGGTCTTTCAAGAACAGGGTTCAAAACAGGGTACTCAAAAAACCTTTACACACCACAGTGCCATACACATGATAGTTATTTAAGATTTATAAGCACGTTTATCGCGGATGGCTGCAAGGACTGTGCCCTTCGAAATCAGAAACGTCATAATTTGAGTTTTCTATAGATCTTACCGTAGATTCTGATATGATTACATTAGTCTGTAACAATTAATTTCATTTCAATTGTACTTTAAAATTAAATGTCCCCAAAGCAGTTCGTTACTCAGGAATAAAATAGTGTCTTTTAGCGGCCGATTTCGCATGGTAGCTGACCTAGTCTTGGTGACATCTAGTCTCGTGCGCTCTTTAATTTACCATTTCGTAAATCTTGGGTGCATCCAAATCGGCATCTTCTGCTTCCTCTCCTGTCGGTTCTGGTGCATCCCTGAAAAAAAATTCACCTTTTTATCAAGAATTTCCAGGCGTTATAGGCATGAGCTTTCGATGCTTTCATCCAGATTAGGATAGTGCCTACAAGTTCATCGCCATATACCATGTATGGTAAAGTATAACGTCCGTAAACAGTACTATATTGGTGCTATGTGTTCTAATCAACAAGTGGCTGCAATTCGCTGGTGAAAGGTTTACATTTTATTCTAAAAGATTGGTATAAATATACCACAAACTAAGACTATATAACAGCAAAATGGTGATATGGTAAAAATGGTACGTTGAAGCCACAGCACGCTCTCTATCGCAACAGTTATGGTGGCTGCGACAGAAATTTGATGAAAAATTAAGCCACAGCGCTAACAACCAAAGACAGCTGTTCTGGTCTTGATAAGCCTCAGCATAGCAAAATGATGAAAACAGCCAGATAAATATTCAGAATGTGAATAACTAACAAACAGTGCAAAAAAAACAACAACAAAAACAAAAACAAATCAAAGGACAGTGAGTAACAATTAATAAACAGAGCTAAGGCGAGGAATAAAACCCTTATCGATCGTTACATTACAGCTCAGACTAAAAGAGTTCTTTTCAGTTCAGTAAACAAGATCACTCTCTCAACTTAACACCAAATGTTTCAGTTGACTCACCAACTCTTCGAAGACCTATTTCTACGTACACACCTGAGAAAATCAACGAAGTAAGGTTCGTCCATCAATTGTTCCACACCTTCCTCGCCCATATGTTCCTCAATTACTTTTGTTACCGTCTTCTCAAACCACTTGCGGTCGGCGTCGTTCGTGAAGCGATCGGCTATCACTCGAGTACACTCGTGTTTCCACAACGCGAGAGCAAGCTTCCTAGTGTTGACTTCTTCTCCAGCTACGTTTAGCATGCCTTCCCATATACGTGACAAGTCACGCAGGTTGAAAATATAGTGGAACTTGGCGGGTGTAGGTAGCATCTTGGCCTAAAGTAAGTCAAAGAATGGTTACTACTCAAACACTGAATGGGAGCAGGTTTTCAAGAGATCCAAAATCTCAAGAACTGAATAAAGGAGGCTGGAAAGGGTTTTTAGATGCACGCGCGCGCACAATCTACACACGCCACAACTAAGATGCACGCGTCAGATGAGTGAATCAAAATCAGCACACCAGAAGTTAAATGTTGCTTGAAATTGCGCGAACCGGAAATAAAATCTGCGAAATACATTTGTTTCTAGCTCGAAATTTTGTTCGATGACCTATCTTGATTTTTTGCATGCACGCACCATTCACGATGGCACTTCAAATATAAAAGTTTCGGGAAAAATTATCCAGTAGAATTTTCTGTAAGCCATAAATCGCATTTTCTTTAAATATATTTAATTCTATTGGATAAATTATTTCCATACTGTCTGAAAAGTTAAAGAATTTAGGGAACTTTCCAACAAAGAAATAAAAATGGTAGGTCACCGAATTAGTTTTTCAGATAATTTACAAAAACTAAAATTTAGTGGACGTTTTTGTGGACCCTGTACGTTGCCATGGTAACTGATATGACGTCACAAGTACTCTCAAAGTATAGCCCAGCAATGGAGTTGCAAGTTTGCCCACCACATTAAATATCCTTCTTTGTAATTTTCCATCGTTTCACAAACACTGCAACAACGAAAAACCCTTTCGAGCCTCCTTAAGACCGTGTAGAACAACGAAACGATAAAGCATACTGCTTCTCCCTTGTAGGGGATGCTTAGCTGAATCCGAACGCTAATTTTTTTAGGTTCATCACGAGTTACTTGACAGCATTTTACACTCCCGGAGTGTAAAATGGTGCTAATTTAGCTGAGCCCTGCTAAGACCAAAATTGCACTCCACTCAGTTCACTTATCACTACTTATTTTCAGGTAGCAACTTGAAATAGCTTTCACGTAAGCTGGGTTTACAAGCAATTCATGGCTGTATTTGGTGCTCTTGATTTGTGCTTGGCTTGTATACCTCATTCATAGTTAGATAACAAACAGAACATTGGATGTGTACCAATTCAAAGTTAAAATTAATATATCCACCACGGCCGTGCAATAACCTTTGCATCTTCTGTGGAGATAATAAAATGTAAGTCGTCTTAAATTTAACGACTTTGTGCATCTTCTGTGGAGAGTTGTAATAAAATAAGCTTGTCGCATGCGACAAAGTCGTACCGTGTAAATAGGCCCTTACAGAGCCAAGAGTTTCTTACTTTGGTTTTCTGCCAAAGAACCCTTGTGCAGGCGACGAGCTGATCGACGATATCGCAAACTTCATCTGAGAATCGAGCTGAGCAAAAATACCCAGTACCAATGACACCTTGAATGGAAGGATCGTTAGCAGTAAGCGTAAGATCACTAACTAGAGACAATAATTTTAAAAGGCATTTACAAATAACTAATACATTAAACAACCACTAAAAGATATGTTGGAAAGTAAGTTGGCAGGGAAAAGGAAAGGATATAAAACTGCGCATCCTTAGTTAACTTGGACAGACTAACTTACAAGATCAAATTTTATTTCAGATATTCACAAACTGTGAAATTAGACGAAATGTTTCTTTTTGGCCTAAGCAAGTTGAGTGTATGAACGATAACTTGACATCATACATTTAAAAGTTTCAATCGGTTCAAAGCTGAATTTTCCTAAGAGATTTTTCTCACAAACGGTCGATAAAGAAAGTGATACCTTTCAATAACTTCCTGTCTGAGTTTTACAAAAGGCGTGCTGAAAACCTCAACTTGAGGCCTAAACGAAGTGTTCTTTACTGTAAGTTAGGTAAAAACATGCATAAAATTTGCAGAAAGAACAGTTAAGGTGGTTAAGACTGTCAAACTTTCAAGAAACTTACCAAATATTTTATCTATAGACGCATTTGAAGGCAAGGTACAGTTGAAGATGCTAAACTGACGCTTGAGCCTCTCAGGAATATCATTCCTTCCTCCTCCTGGGTGGATCATGGCCGCAATAAATTGAATGTCCACGATGTGTGTGAATTCGCCAGGCTTCTCCAGATTATAAAATCCTTGTTGCTCCATTACTTGACGCACGATCTCGTTTGTTACCTAAAAAGGCACCCGAAGGGTATCGCTAAGTGAGATCAGCAGTGAAAGAGGTGTATTCATCTTGTTCTTGTTGGGGAACAACATTTCCTTTGAAGTCTGACTTATCTCTTTTTTTCCCCTGCATTTTTCTGATTAACTTCATTATCAACGGGGCTAGCACTTTTCTGTGAGACCCAAAAAAGTCACATGACCAAGTTGTAACTGAATTTGCTTTTGCAACTGAGTTAGAGGTGGCAAGAGAGTTTTAAAAAATTCCTTGGAGAACATGGTGGGGGTAGTACCAGTGCATTCACGGATTGATTTAGGACACTTAATCTTAACAGCGCATATTCGTATGTAATCATTACATTAATTTCCGAAATCTAAGAGATTCGACCGAAGGGTTGCACTGACGCCTAGAACAAGCGCGCGGATAAAGGTCTAACTCAGACTAAGGTAAATACGAAATGGCAAGATCAAGCACGTGGCACATCTCAGAGATTTAAATGTGCCAACGATATAAATGGCGGCAAAGCTCTAAATGGTGACCTAAAATATATAAGAACTAGCTAACCTGATCACCCCATTCATTTATAATAGGCATATTGACGTCATCGATAAAGCAGGTCATTTTGCGCCCCGCCGGTGGTCCGTACGTGGTACCCACGCGTTTGTCCACGTAGCTCTCGATTGTACGCTATAAAAGGAGCAAAATGCGGTCAGAGTAAGCTTGGAACTATTATTTGGAAGCTAAAGATAGATCTGACAATGAGTGAACTGACCTGGAAGAGTAAAGGTGTGGTGGCAGAAGAGAAGTTGACGCTCTTACTCATGTGCACTTCAGGGTTGTATTTGGCAAGGTAACCTTTGATCATCACTGTCTTTGCTGTACCCTGTTCCCCAATGAGCAGTACTGCCTTTTAAAAAAGGAAGCGAAAATCTTAATCTAACTTAGTGTCAAGCTTTCTTTTTCTTGTCGGTTGAGTACACCCGAATTTACACTACCAAGTTTTCTTTAACGGGTGCCCGTTAAAGAAAACCTGGTAATAAACCCGGTGTTTTCCAACAGGTTTTCTGTGCAGCTGTGAACAGTTGTCTATCCATGTAAAATCACCTCGCCGGACACGGAAATTACGGTTTTTGAACAAGGCGAAACTTATCGAGGACCTAAGAGTCGTCAGTTAAACTCGAATAGCTCTTTTTGTAATTAAGGTTTAAGCTTTCGTTCAGCTTCCATCAGAAAAGTGAATAAAATTTAAAAGTTGACTGATCTGGCCGAAAGAATGCAAATAATAATGAAATCTCTTTGAAATCTGAGTGGTCCAACCTTCCAGAAATATATTGGGGTAAACACACTAAAGCACGAACCTTGCTCTGCTTGGCGATAGTTTCCATAAGGAAGCTGGTTCTGACATTGTCAACATTCGGTACTAAGATGGAGGAGTACTCGGGTTTGTAATCAGGTGGGTAGTTGTACTCTTGAACTCGGTTCAACCAGTGTTCCCAATTACCTAACAGTACAATTAACAACACCATCAGCTTTGGACATTTCTACCCAGGATCTGAAATACCTATTTTCAACAATTTGTGTTATGTAAATCAAAAAACAACTTTTATATCATGTATATAAAATGTTGATTATAATAATTTCCCCACATTCTCAATTACGAAGATATCTTACCGGCCGTAAGACTAATGCCTTCAACGACACCAAATTTCAAAACCGTAACAACCTTTATTAGGCGCTTAAGACGAGTCTATTTGTGCATGTTTCAAAGTTTACTATTTACTTTATGCGTAGATCTTAACAATCAATTTTTGTGTTATGGGAAAGGTAATAAATAACCGGTGCTCACCACAGTTGTCTACCACAAACTCAAAGATGGTGTCCTGGCTTCCTGCGTCGATATCAGGCAGAGCAAGCTTTCCGTGTTTGACAAGAAACTCCTCCATCTTGGCACGGTCTTCTATCTCCAGCAGAGCACCCACTCCCCACATGAGAGCAAAAACGAAAAGTCGACTTAAGTGGTTTGGTTTAAGAACACCGTGTTCCTCTTTGCTTGGAATAAGACCCTCCAGTATGTCGATACACTGCAAAATGCGAACAAAAACAGCCGTTATCAGGAATGGATTGAGTTATCTTGCTGTGGTGCTGATGTTCATGGGTCTCAGCGACCCTTCATAAGTTTTATTTGTCTACGACGTTAGTCCCCAGCAAGTATCAACCAGACCAGACAAGTGGAAGTGTGTATAGTATGGCTTAAGCCAACCAACATTGCCATCCATCTGAAGATTGACCGATGAAAACGTGAAAAAGATAAAGAATCCTCAAATTGAAGAAACAGAGAAAACGTGCTCTCCGTCACGGCATCCTTTTTGGTGCTTTGAAATTTAAATACGCCGAGTAAAATGAGCCCCCCCTTACTTTAGAAGCCCTCGAAATTGATAAGCACCCCCCCCCCCCTTCACGTAGGAAATTTACGTTGAGAGAGCTGCACAGTTACCTGTTTGATGACGTTACATTCCAACACCTCCATCTTTGGAGAAAGATTCTGCTTGACGTAAGTGTAAACCTCATCAAAGATGCACTCAAACAACGGTTCCAACACGTCATGTTCCTGCACTTCTCTCTTGTTCAGCCAAGCCTACGTAGGTTTAAGAATCAAACAATAAGTCAACCAGGAAAGCTGGACAATGAGGGCGATTTTGTTTTTAAGGATGGAAATATGGTGGATTGTTTGACAAGTCATGGTTGGCGCCAAACTCAGGGTAACAGAGAATCGATGCGTCCTCTTTGATTCTTTCACTTGTATATATATAAATAAAATTATACAAATATATATACACACACACAACAGTTTCATCTACAAATTGTTAAACGGAATATTTTTTTCAGCTTTTTTTAACAGAGGACGTTTCATTGAGAAAAGTGAAGCACCTTGACTATTGGTCTCCAGTCCATAACCGAGGAGCTCATGTACACCATTCCATTACGCGATACAGTGGCAGGTGAAGCATTATCTATGTTGTGTGGCTCAAACACAACTTTACATTGAGGTGACATAGGGATTCGGTCCCCGTTGGCTAGTGTAAGTGTCTTGTTATCGTCCAGAACGCTGTTCAGGTTCTCGATCCAAATGGCATCCACAGGACCATCTAGTACGATCCAAATGTGTTCCCCTGCAAAAATCCCGCATTAGACCCAAGAGAGCTAATTAGCCATTAACAGTAGAGTCAATCTACATTGTGAAAGGTAAATTCCTCCATTCGCTCTGACGAAGGGCTAACGCTCGAAACGTCAGCTTTGAAGCTCAACTCAGTTGATAATACTAAATTAGCCTGCTATACTCTCCCACCGACGCAGAACTACAATTTCTTTAGAAACTTGCCCCCTGTGTACATTGTGAAAGGCTTTTTTTTATTCATCGTGCTCGAATGAACGAAACTGAAGCGGTCAGTTTTACCGTTAACGTGAAGCAACTCATCGTCATAATGCGCCAATCACAGCTGCTGACCAATGCGAAGCCGCTTTTACGCGCTGTTACGAGTTGCCATTTTATTTCAGTGCCAGAATAGGAATAACAGCATGGATAAATTTGTGAAACGAACGATTATACTTCATAATTATTTTGCCCAACTTCTCTGTGGTTTCATTACAAAGGTTAGACATGGGAAAAAGGAAATTCTTAGTTCTTTCAAAGTTGGATGGATTTGGTATAACTTTACCACATTCACGTTTCGTGGTCAAGTTGAAGATAGTTTTCCACAAAACAGAAATTACTTGGTCATAAAATTAAATTTGATGTGCAATTTGAAGAATACCTAAAGAGTAGCTCGTGGACACAAACCTTTCTTTGCCTTTAGCGTTTTTCGCCACAAAGTAGAGAATATGCCATCTGTCCAGTCATTAGTCGCTACATCCAACCTGCCAAACATCTGCGGCGCAGTGATAGCCTTCGGATTCATGCGCATCTCCCGATGTGGAGCACCGCAGTCACCCATGGCCTTCATGAGGATGTTAATACAAACTGACTTGCCGGCTCCACTTGGTCCCAGGGTCATCATTCCATGACGAACACGCTGAGTTTCGTAGAGCTAGGATGAACAAAAAAACCAAAGCAACAGCTTGCGATGATTAAAAACACAAATCCTTTTCAATGCAAACATAGACTAATGGAAATCCTAAAAAAGCCAAGTCTTAAAAACTAAACGATACAAAATGTCCCTATTTTCGTCATGTTTCAACACGTTTCCATGCAAATCACGTTACAACTGCGGTAAAAAATGTGTCTAAATGTACCCACATTAACTAGTTATCTGGGAATGACCTGGTATAAATGATTTCTTCAAAAAAAGTAGATTCAAGGCTAAAAATTTTCCTCAAGATATTTGCCGATACCTGGATTAGTTTGAGTATCCAAGGAGGATGGAAGATCAGTCCTGCCTCTTCAACGTGTTTCTGAATCATTTCCTCAAGTTCAGGGTAACCAGCCTTGTCCAAGACTATTCCAGGGAACAAATCATTGATCAAACTCAGAAAAAGGGGTTCGTCCTCGTCCACCTAAACACATAAAACCAAAAGTACAATGTTTGTGTTCAAAGTTCAGAACAAGTTTTAGACTTTTTCTGAACCCTTTCACGGATTTTCACCACTCAAATCGCATGGCCTGAACATTCATATGTGGGAGGTTTGCCACAAAATTAGTATCATTCAAATATTTCAGCCGTCAGTTCAGTAAATTCAGAAATAGTGCCGAGCTTTCACCTAGCAATTTGGCAACAGTTGCAGTTATTTTGAGCATTTTATTTCAGTAATTAATTTTCAGTTTTCACTATTTTTTAAAGCTCTTGAAGACTCCCGAATTCAATACCTCTTCAAGTCTTCAAGTCTCGGAACAAATCAAGTCAACCACGAACGATCTCGTTTATTCTGTTCGTATTACATGCATCTTACCAGTTTGGATAGGTTCATATCTCGTAGTACTCTCATTACAGTGGTACTTTCACTATCCTGTGGGTTGGCTCGTTTAGCAGCACCCAAAGTACGCAGCACTGACAAGATGTTTCGCAAACCAAAGTCGTAGTGAACCTACACATTTTCAGTTGGGAAACAAATACTTCAATCCATGGAATCGTTACTTTGCACTGAAATTCTGGACACGAACTACATGATGAGGTCAAATTATTGAAGCTGCTGGTATCAAAATCAGATTTCCCATACTGCCCTGGTAGCCCTTGTCATAAAGAGTGCAACAACCTGACTTTCATTTCAAATTGAGCAAAACAATTTATGTTGAAAGGAGATAAGACTAAAAACTACACGGCACCAATTTTCTCCCTTTCACCAGGTAAATGGCAAACATTTAGTGATAACCCAAGTAACAAAAGCTTATCTTATAAGCACCAGTCTCTTAAGGTAGTCAACATAGTAATTGAAAACCATTTTCACTAGGCCAGCCGAAAATAAAGTGTTATGGATAATACCTGTAAAGATAAATATCTCGAAATTTCTAGAACGCTTTGTCATGCTGACATACATACCATGGAACCTTCTAGACCATTTTATTAGGTCACGCATTTATAATGTAACTAACCAAAATAGTTGTTTTGTAAGCTTCCGGAGTGTTTTGGAATACTTTGTAAATGTATATAGGGACTCAGTCGTATAGTACTTGTAGTTGCTGTTGTCGGGGGTGACCGACTGTTTGGAAAGCTATTCTGAGAGAGAGTTACTGTGAAAATTGTTTATTAAAGGAGCTATGGAGAAAACTATGAGTTTGTGTCAGTGGTGAGCTAGGATAGAGACTGTAGCAGGCTAAAATAAGTTTGGTGAGGATAATTACTGTATTGTCTTTTGGAGTCGCTCCTTATAAAGAATAATACACGTTGTTCAACAAAGTAGTTAACCTTGTAGGATTGTAGTGTTCTCTCTGTCGGTTACAGGCGTCTGCTGCTAGAGAAAAGATTTAAATGAACTCTTCTTCTCCCTAAACATATCCACACAGAGAGAATCTACATTTTTTTCAATAACGTTACACGAACCTGTTTGCTGAGCTGCTCTTCGCACAGTTTGTAGAGCGTAAAGAATTTCTGAGCCAGAATGACATTTTCAATAAAACCGCAACTGGCTAGTTTCACCCTCATTATAATCTGAAATAAGAAGTACTTTTAAGTTATAAATAAACCCTTTCACGACTGGAATATTAAAATATTACAACAAATACAAATTCACTTCTTTTAAACAAAGAGAAAAACAAACCGACACAACAAATTGAATTGAGAACCTGTCTGTCGGGAACCATCATGGCGACAGTGCGAAACTGGACTTTGAGATTCTCTGGCAACTCTTGACGGCCTGCGTATCCCGGATTCTACAAAAAAGGCATGTTGAGTCAATAATCACAAGAACTCTGACAAAACAGTGACGAAATCCAATCTGCTCACTTACCATGGTTAGAAAAATACCAAACTCTGGGTTAAGATCCACAACATCTCCATCGCTGAATACAAACTGCTTCTTTCGGTCCTTCTTAGCTGTTAGGACGATGTAGATTTGTTGTGCGGCAACTGATAACACAGGAAGCTCTATGCGGTTGAACTCATCGAAACAACCCCAGCTTCCAGACTGTGCTAAACCTATATAACAAAAAGAATCGCAATTAGTTCAAAACGTCTGACGTGATGACAGATTTACTACCATTGTCTAACTTAACTTTGATTGCATTTCTCGAGCAGGTTTGTTCATAATATCGATATGATTGATTTTACCTTTGTAAATGCGACCCAAGCCTCTGAAGTCCATCTGATCAGAGCAGTTAAAAACGACCACGTACTTTCCAAGAGCCTTTCCCATGTCTTTAGTTGTCTCTAGAACAAACCAAGCAATTTCCAATTGATAACAAGTAGAATGGTTAGCGTGATAACTACGGTATAAAGCAATTGTACGAAACCATATTCAGAAAATAGGCTTTCATAGTGCTGACGCAGTTCCACAACAAAAATTTCATTATAGTCTGACAATTCCTGGGGCAACACGAGCCTCCAAAACCAAACCAGGAGCATTTTAGCATTCAGATTTTCAGAAGAACATTTTAAGAGGTGGCTCTCAATGAAAATCGAGGAGTGTATCGTGTTATTGTATCTTTAAACCAAATCTTAAAGACGTAAGGTTGCGACAGCACTCTTACCAGTCTTGCCAGTACCAGCAGGTCCAGCGGGCGCACCACCCATAGACATGCCCAGTGCCTGAGCAAGTGTTATGTAACATCTGTCCGTGAGAGGAGTGATGACGAGCCTGTCTGTACAGCCCAGGAACTCGTTCTGATAGCTGAAGTCAACGTCTGTGATGGAGATAATACAATCATCGATGTCTTCCTTGAAGTAGAAGCGAGATTGTTTCAGCCACTCGAAGTCTGTCACTGAGCGGATGTGCATCTTGACCTGCGATAACAGTGAAGCAAAGTAGCAAAAGTCGGTCAGTGTGCATGCATTTTACTGACAACTGAACATTCAGAGATTTGCCACTTGGATAACAGCAGTATGGACATACACACCGTGCGTTATTTGAATTTTAGAAAAAAGTACTTAAATGGTAATTAATTAGAAAAGTACTTAGAAAAAGAGGATGCTTGATTTTGGACAGCCCATGTTGATTGTATTTTACCAAATAATCACTAAAGACTATTTAACCTTTAAAATAATTTACCATAAAGAGTTCTTCAAACTCAGTGTCTTAATTACATCATCTCGTTATTTGAGAACTGATTATGAACAAATTTTGTGTTTCACACTGCAATTGACAGGTTACCCGTGAAACATGCCATTTCAGCAACACTTCTTGCTCTAACAAGTTGACTTGTGACAAACCTTTCTGTAACCTTACAGACAAGCGGAAGACATGGATGTTTTAACGAAATACACAGAAAAGAGGAAATCGTACCAAATCATCAAAGATGTCTCTCTGATGTACGTGAATCGTGACAAATGTCTCAAACTTGGTCCTCTCCATCTTGGTCAGTTCCTGAGTCGTAACCTCAATCAGTGAGTTCAACAGATTCAAGAACTTCTGGTTCGTCGTGGCCATAACTTTTTTGTCCGATCGCGCATTCTTAAGCGCTTCTTCGGCATCTCTGGTCCAGATCATTTGAATGCCTAATAAGCCAACCTACCCACCAGCAAAGAACACAATGTAATATCACCGTATCTGTAATAGCTAAGCATAACACCAACTGAGATCTCCAGTAATAAGCTATTAAAATGTGCAGCGACATCAAAGATTTAAAGAAGATCAAGACGTCCAAAAACAGTAAGAAAGTTTATAGCAATTGTTACTAGGATGTTAAGGGATGACCAGTCTTTAAGCATTGTTCTATAGCTGGAATTTTCCCCAATTTCGCACGCTGTCATGGGTTGCTTTGGAGTCACAAGCGTCAAAACTCCACAGTAGCACATATAAAATGGTAGGAAGTCATAGAGACGTACCTGCGATGGAAACTGACCCAAGAAGCTCATGAGCTGAAAGCCACCGTCGTTGATGGCGTGATAGGCATCTCTGATAACTGCATGGAGTGAGTGCATAGCTTGATTGAGCAGTTCCCCTAACCACAACTCCACATTTCCTTTTGCCATGACGGGTGATTCCAGCTGTTGACGGGCAGTTATTGAGTGTTACGATCGAACTTCTGAAATAGCCCAACTTCCTTCCTAGCTGCTCAGGGCAGTTTTCGACGCATTTCCCAAAGTAACCCGCGTCTGCATTTATTTTCTTTTCTATGCTATTTAATGGTCTGGAAAACTTGAGTTACCCTCTTAGCCAAGCAAAGAATGGTCACAGATGTCCACTTTGATTTTCATTTAGTTCTCTGTGTGGTTCACTTTTGATGCTATTGATCACTATAATTATTTTGGTTTTGTTTTGCAACCTTACATCAACAAGTGTCCTTAAGAGCCAGGCCATCCATACCTGTACAGTCTCTCCCTCGGATGAGATGATGGCTAAGATCCTATCATAATCCTTCTCATGGAATGCCACGTTTTTCACGTTATCAAACACGTTCAGTAAATGCGCCTGCAATATAGAAAAATAAATATCGGGCATGAATAAAGTAAAAGCAAATTTAGCAGCAGATAAAGATGGGGTATATTTAAAGCTAAGTGTAGACAAAAATACGCGATTTTTTCCGTTTTGCTCGCTACGTTCAGGCATGGGCTTAGAAAAGCTGCGCCACCTAGCTTCTCAACCAACCAGATGAAAAACCAAAGTAATCCTATTCTCAATTCAGTCACTTGCTCTTTCCGACCCCAAAAGTCGGTTACATGTGTTTAATATGGGTTCTTAATGCCGCCTAATGACAAATATTATTGTTTGCGTACATGTTATGCCTATTTCAGTTTTTCTGTCACGACGATTCATCGAAAAGCGCTCTATGTTACTTCCATGATTCGTAAAAGAACAGAGTTGTACACCAAACCTGTATGGTGTGTGAGTCACTGGCTTGTCCCAAAATTTCCAAAAGCGCTGGATCAGAGACAAAGAAGAAACGGGGAAACACAAGTCGTTTCTTTTCCAGATAACTGCATGAAAACAAATAAGAAATGTTTGGTCAACAAAACCACATACAATATACTCGAAATTTAGTCACAGTTTATTAAAAACCATTTTCCTGAGAGCAACGCAGACAAATTTCCCTCAGCTCCACCAATGATTCAACAGCAAATAGCGCATTTGAGAAATACAACCCTCAGTATTCCTTGCTACTAGTATTTCACACTCAGGAAATGAAAATCAAAAGACTAATATCTTACCCAGTAAGCGATTTTTGACAAAGCTCCAGTTGTTCCAGTAAGTGAGGTAACAGCTGACCAAGAGTGTCGTCACCCACACAGCATTGAACCACGTTAGGTGTCTCATGCGCACGCGTCAAGATCTTCACCCAAGACTTGTCAATGTTGGCAAATCGCTTGGCTTCCTAAAAGCAAAGTAAGAGAGCTCATAACAGTCAGCCGATTAACAGAACAGTTTTAAACGCTGACACTCGCTTGCAGGTCAGTTGGCGTTTTGTTGTAAACGTCTATGAATAGGGACACATTCCAAGGCAGGGTCCGAAATAACCACCGAATTCAAGATAGTGCAACATAATATTTGCTATATAAACTAGGAGTTGCTGCTCCTCAACAGCATTTAATTCCCTGCAATTGATGAGAAATTTATTTTCCTTTGAAATAAAGACCTTTACACCAGCTGAAATTATACCTGTGGTAGTTGTTTTGCGATATCTCCACCTACAAATACAGCCTCTAGGTAGACCCACAAGTTTTGCACTATCATCCAGTTCTCGATGATGTCTGAAGTGTTGGATAGCTTCTGAACCCAGCCTTGGATATCCTTCTTGAACGGTGCATTGTATCTAAACAGAAAAGAGTTAAATACCGTCAACTGAAGGGAAATTTTCATCAACAAATACCATGTGCCAGAGAGTTTGATATAGATTTCTTTAAACCAACTTACGCAAATTTCACAACTTCTCTGCTGGTAGCAATATTTCTTTAAGATCCTTATTCAACTTAAATGTATTGTACTGTAAATAACATAAAGCAAGTCCTACGTGTTACGTAAACAAAATCACACTTTCCGTTAAGCCGGGTTAGGGTGGACGAAGTTCTGAGAATTCTATTTTTTTTTTTTTTAATGAAACATTTTATGTTCATTTTAAAATAGTAGGTTAAACGCAACACGAAACCTAATCAGCTCGATTTTCAAATTACCTGTTGCTTAACAGAGAACCCAACACCATGAGGCTGTCTTCCAGTAGTGAGATAATCTCAGCTGTTTCACCTCCTTTCAGCAGCAACTCTCCACGGTTCTTGAATCCTGCGAAGCTGAACATTTGAGATTTCCATTCCGCTACAACCTGGCTCAGCTTGGCCTCAATGTCCTTCTCCTTCACGGCTGAGATGCAAATGTCCTAAAACAAATAACTTAAAATAAGAACTCAAACTCTACTGAAGGAGTCCAACTCTTGGGCATTAAGACTGTTTAAGAACTCTTCTGTTTCTTTTTTGATCAAACTGATCAAACTTGAGTGACCGAGTTCCCCCCAGTCAAAGTAACTTTTTAATAAATCAAAGTTTAAACGCCTTCAGTGATGCCTTCCGGCAGAAATAGATTAAATTTCCAGGATTTATACGCCCCTTTCGTGGTCACAGCCACTTGGAGAAAAAACATTTTTGATAGGCGCCACTTTTGACTGAATGACAGTCAAAAAAAGCCATGTGGGATAGTTCTGGAGACTGGGCAAAGACACTTTTTGCACCAAATACATTCATATAAAGTGGTTTGCATACGCATTATTAACGTACCTCAATATCTTCTTTGTTCTCCAACAGGGGAGCTTCCATGATATTCCTCAGCAAAAAGTTCTCCGACTCGACTTCAAATGTGTGTCCTGTAAGGGCAGCTAATCGTTCCCAGTGCCTATCCTTCATGGCCTTGTTCGCCATCAACTCCAGAAGTGGACAGCACTCGTTGAAGTCGTCAATCTTTTTCTTTAGCTCATTAAACGCTTGCCACTCCCTGAGCGCTTTAGGAAGTTTACGGCATCTAACAAATTCGTAAAAGAAACAGGAAGTTAACCCTTTAGCTCCCAGAAGTGATTTACTGGTAACTTCTCCCTGTAATATCCGCACATTATCCAGCCAACAGGTAACGAGAATACTAAGACTTATCAGGAAGAAGTTGTTATCTTGATCTAACATCAAATTCTAATAATTTTTTAAACAAGGAAAGGAGTTTAAAGGTGAAAGGTTACCGCACGGTCATGTCAGTGATCGCGGCTGCTACGCGAGCAAGCTTGGTGGCATGAGGTGAAGACACTTAGCGAGGTTAAAGATCAGTAGCTACTGCCAACTCTCAAAATCAGCCTTTCTCCTTCTACCCCCAGAAGTGATTAAAATCAAAGTTACGAGTACTGATCAGTACTTCACCCAGAAACAGAGGTATTTAGAATGAACAAACCGACTTAGTTTACACGTCACGACTTTGCAGTGAGGGGGAAAATATAAGGCTAAAATAATTGTTGACAATTATTTGAATCTTCGTAATTGAAATCCTCGTAAAACTATTCAATTAGAATCTGTCGTCTTTTTGAACACTCCTACACGTTTATCCAAATGATAATGACAGACCTGTTTTGAAAGTCAAGCAGTTCATTATTGATCTTCTCAATGTCGACTTCAATCCACAGAATATCATAGTAGCCGTTGACACCATCAATAACAGCATTGTACAGTCCATACAGTTTCTGCAGCAATCCCAGTTCCTTCTTGGTGCGAACCAATTCAGGATATTCAGTTACAGTGAGGCCAAACAGTTGCTCGCCGCCGGAGTAGGTGGTGTATTTACGCCACAGTTCATCAAAACGACTCTGAAGATTGAAACAATAATTATGATTGGAAAAGTTTAATCATCGTTGCCTCGGCTACACCAATGTCGTAATTTTCTTTTCCGGGAGCCTGATAACTAAAGCACACGGTCTTCCACATTTGAAACTAGAATCAATCCAGTAGTTAGTAATATGATACTCACTACAACTAAGTTGAAATGAGTTCAGGAAAATAACCTTAAAAAATAACTACACACTACTCTTCAAATGGACCAAATACGTATAATTCTACAGTGTGCATCCCACTCAAGATTTTGATTAAATTTCGCATTCATTCCTAAAAAACGTGTTCATCAATGTTCTTAATTACAGCGAAACTGTTTCCATTGCTGCCATGTCTCGTGGTTTCTACTTATTTTCTTTTCGTTCGAAGTGCACCAATCGAAATGGAGTATAGTGCAGTTGCCGCTCCCGCAGTTACTGGTTAATAAGCTTGTAGCACCTCTCTGAGCTGTTCTTTTACGCATTTCATTAAGACCATCACCTGGAAGGTATTGAGTCTGTCACTGGCCTCTTGAGGAGTAATGCCACTCACCATCGGCCCAATCTGAAACCCGTAAGCACGAGGCATAAGTGACAACAAAGAAACCGAAAAAAAAAAAACTCGTCAAAAAGTATTTTTAAATGTTTGTCTGTAGAAATGCACACCTCGCTGTAGTCGCTCATGTAGTTAGAGGAGGCTTCGCGAAAGACCACGACTTTCTCTAGCAGGTCAGCTTTGAACTGGGGCTGAATCTTCACTAAGTGACTTTGTACTTGACCCTGTAAATAACAGAACAATGGTCATCAAAGTACGCAACAAAGGTACGGTTGTGGCATGCACAGTGACAAGTCATCGGAGGGTCCCAAAATGAGAATTTGTTCCGACAAAAAAATAAAAGCGCGAATTTAAGCTTGTTTAAAAAGTGTGCTGGCTTTGGAGGGGAAAATGGGTCGAAACAACTTGCTTAAGAAGTAATACACAAGAAGCGGTGTCTCGAAAACATCAATCTTGTAACACTTACAATAATGATAACGGTCATAACGTTAAAAAAGAAACAATCCAACGCAGCCCAAACGAGTATGACAAGGTTCAAACAGTACTATACTTCACTTTCAACAAATTTCCTACTGTTATTCATTGTAATCGAAAAAAGCCACGTATTGTTTTGCTATGGGTGTACACATATAAATCCGGTATTAGAGGTCTTATCACTCACCGCCTGGGCAAGAAGTTTCTCAAAAGAGTATCTTAGGGTGTCCACGCCTTCTACTTCTTCACGAGAAACGGAAACCTCGAACTTGTTGAGCATGGAATAAGCTTCCTGAAGTTTAACACCGAAAAAAAAGCGAGCATTCAGCCGTAGCTAACAATCAAATGTATCAGTTCAGTTCTAGATAATAGACAACGTCAAAATGTGGTATGAAAATCTAGTTATCACACGAGCTAGTAGATGTTGATTTAACATCACTAATTTGCCTCAATACATTCAACTGATCTAACATTTTTCCACTCTGAAGCATTCTCAAATCAGCAAGTGATTTATGTTAAGCTTTTCTTGGAAAAGTTTGGCAAACCCTTTTCAAAACGAAGCTCTCATTGACAAAACAAAGAAAATAATATTTCTGAGACGTCTGTCGCATGTCTGTATTACGACAGATCACAAGCAACGATCAATCCCAGAGAGTGAACTAATCAATTCATGGTAAATTTGAGTAAATGGAGTACCTCTATAGGACCAAGGATCATATCAATTCGAATCTCATTCTGCCTGATATCTTCCAAGGCAGCCATAGCATTCCTGACATCTTCCAAGTCGTTGATCTGTCGGGCGAGCCGCTTGCTGTAATCTGACACAAATTGTGTGATCTCGTCCATGCTATGTTTGTATTTGTTATTGATGCTGTGGCCAAAAAGAAGCTTCCATGCTTTCAGCTCCACTCGTAAGGCGAGCTTAAACGGTTCTGCAGAAAAACGTAGGGAAATCGTACAGTCATTGTAACCAATTTAAAAGTTAGTGCTAATGAGAGGTTTCAGATTGATTATAGAAAACCTAGAACAAAAGGTTCTTATTACAAGCAGTCTAACCTGAGAATAACTCAATAGCTCCGTGACCCACTCTGAAGGAAGGTTCAATGTTTTCAACGTCCTGCTCTATAACCTGATATTTCAAGATCTCGGATTTGAATTCTGACAAAATTGGATCCGAAGCAACGAAATCCTACGAAGGAAGAGTATCCAATTCAGTCAGCATCATTCACCTCTTACGCACCAATCGTATCTCACGGGATTTGGGGTTCTTGTCACTACCATAAGGCTTTCAGTATGTGCTGAAAATTACGCCACACTGTTACTTATACTAGATTATCCACACAGTTAGAACAGGTCTACGGGTTGCAAGCCTTCAACTGCACCAGGTCCGCGTTTCTCGAAAGTCCCTGTAACCTAACGGGCCCTTTAAGCTGTTCTCTTTTCCTTCAAGATGAGTGTTTCAAAAGTTTTGTAGAATTATTCTATAAAATCATCAATTAAAGAAAGCAGATGAACTGGTTGGGATATTTTGGGAGACTCTTTCTCTTCTCTTAACGGCCTCCAACCAAAAGTCATTTCGTAAAAAGACGCTTTAAACAGCTCATGAAGGCGAAAAAATACCACAAATGCGTCGATTAACATTTCATTTAACATTATTGAGACATAAAGACTGAGATGTAATTAAGATATGCAATTTTCAGAGCTTTATTCCTAACTCTCATAGATTTTGTTCGTCTCATGTCAACAATAACCACAAACACATAGTGTGGTCTGCCTATGCCAGGACTTTCGAGAAACAGACCCTTGGTCTGACAGTTAACTTAAGAGTTCAAGTCATGTCATAAGATCTCGTAAGTCTTAACTTAGTCAGGTGCACAATAAACTTCTTTGGTCTGAGAGAGCGTTCGATAGTTTTACGATTTCTAATCTACAATTAAATATAAACGTTTACTCCATTTTCAAACAGTGCCAACCTGGCTAAAGGCGAAGTGGATTAATTACTTTAAAATGACGAAGGTTGATGTTTCTGAAGTGTCACAAGAGAGTTTGTCTATTTCCTGGCTAAAGGCGAAGTGGATTAATTACTTTAAAATGACGAAGGTTGATGTTTCTGAAGTGTCACAAGAGAGTTTTTCTATTTCCAATTTTTCCTCTCCTTTGCTGACAATAGTGTGCCCGACTTAGCTTCAGAAAATTATATACGATGGCTTATCAAGGAACAGGTACTCGCCAGTATTTTATTCTCTTCCTTAACGTGGGCATGATATGCTCGGAGAAGGAAAAAAAACAATATACTAATAAGCATATATCAATATCTCAGTGACGGCAGCCAAAAGTTTCTCTAACGTTTGGAATCTATGAGTGAAACATCCCTGGAGCGTGTGCCTGAATCCCATACGCCGATTTAATTAATTGCACAGATGGTAACGATTCTTGACGAGACGAATCCACTCGACCAGCATCAAGAGAAATGAGGGGACTATGTCCTGGAGGTTTTCCTATATTTAGAGTTTAGCTAATTGTGCGATAAACTTAAGCGCAGATGTGACAATCTATAACTTTGATACAAGAATGATTAGTTTTAGAACGACCTTGATGCAAACGCGTACTTACAGCTACAGTCTTTTCTTTGTCTTCATCCCACACGTGGTGAAACTGTGTGAACGAGTCAAGACATGTCATCACCTCAGCCTTGGTGGAACTGATCACTGAAGTAAGTACCATCAGCAGTTTAGTAATGTCTTTGTGCTCTGCAACGCTCTTGTAGTAGTTCTTAAGTTTGGATGCTGGAATCTCCTCCGCTGCATGCAAAACCAAACATACCTTAACACCTTCATTGAAATACACAGAGACGATCACTCCTGACATATCTAAGCTGAGACACGCCCGGTATTAAAATTTAAACAGGACACTTACTGGAATCATTAGCTCGAACTGTCCGTTTAATGTGCCCAAGAGCACCATCGTCCTGTGCAGAACTAGTTTCCGTGCATTTAAACCTCTTCTGCCCCCACTGGGCCACAGACCGAGTAACATCCAGCACCGCTTGGGTTGCTTTGTTAAGGGCCTGTTGGACATCGTCCAGGGTGGGTTGTACAACCTGTGCGGAGAGATAAGGGTGGTGTGAAATATTTCTTCTAATAATTAAGACGAAGTTCATATTAACAGTTAACTTTGACATCTACAAGCTCATAAAAGATCACACTGCAATTTAGGTTAATTTTTTTCACAATTCTTTTCTCCAGTGCTACTGAAGGAAACAACGCAATGAGGCAGTGGTAAATAATAATGACTGGTCGAATTTCCCAATAAATTAGACTGTAATAAATTAGTTGGACCAATTATTATAACAATTATGTTCATCGCTGACTAGGAACAGTTCGCGTTCAGACGGCTGATTGCAAGAAGGAAAATACAAATCATTTCGGCACATTAATCTACTACCATTACAGCGATCATAGCGTACTGGATCATATGTTCCCCCTGAAATATTGGATCTTTCAAGGATACACTAAAATAAGCAAACTATCACTCCTCAACGGCCAAATGTCGTTTTTATTCACGTGGTTTTGATTCCATATCGCACTTTCACTCGTGTTAACGCGCCAGTTCCGAACGATTATGCGAACTCGTAAAAAAAACCATGGTATCAAGGTTCGATAATCAATATTTACCACAAGTGGAATGACCAGAGAAATATCTGCCTTGAAAAAAGGAGCCTTGTTATAAGTGTTTGCGGGCAAATCACTGGACAGCGAAAACGTCCCCTTACCATATGTTGAGCGTGTTGTACTACAGAAAAAATAAAAAGGTGAATCATGAAACAAAGACAATAGATTTAACATCAGTAAAATCATCCCAGTAAACCTAACAAGGTTCTTACATAATAGATGTTGGCGGTAAAACTATGCTATTACAGTTTAAGCTTTATGCCGTCGTGAAACAAGCATGTAAAGTCATCATTCGCCGGCGTACGATAAATTGAAAAGGAAGATTTTAAAGGGTCTTAAAAGGTTCTTATTTTCTTAAGAAATATGCGCCTATAATCACGCAAACTCAAAACTACAATACAAGAGCAAAATGTTGCTTCAAACGGGTTTATTTTCTTCGCATTCCGTATTCCGAATTGTTCGGTAACACTGCTTGTCACACTATTCGACTCGTTTAACATGACACTTTCGAGACGTCTCAAATAAGGAACAAACAGTACTGAGGCTGCAGCAGAGAATTGTACATACTAAGAAGAATATAAAATAATTTTGATTAAACTTACTTGGTACAAAACAGTCTGCGTTTCAAACCATCCAGAGCGTTCCTTGTGGCTCGTAAAAGAGCCTCAAAATTGCGGTGATTAAAATACAAAATCACCTCATCAATTTCTTCATCGATAGTTTTCTCATCCGGTACTTTGGGTGTCCTTTCTCTCTGCCCCTCTTTGTTGTTCTCTCCGCGGCTTTCCAGTTTGCGATCTCTGTCTCTCTCTGAGGGCTTGGCAGACGGAGAACTGGGTCCCAATGCTGAAACACCAATCCTCTCCAAGCTTTCTACGAAAATGCTGGCCAACTCGTGGACAGCCTCTTCGATGCACAAGCTCATATGATCCAGAACCTTTCCAAGAGGCGCGCAGCGTTTCTTAAATGACAAACAAATTCTCTGTTACGATCTAGCATAAATCTTCCAAATGCAATCTCCTCTTTACAGCCATTGGAGGCAAAAGACAGGCGAAAGTGATCGGTCGGGTTTGCATTGTTTTTCTTTTTTCTCGTTTCTTGGATCTGCATGAACTGGTCTTAAAAATCTGACGCCACTAACCCAACCAAAGAAATGCAAAATTGATACAAGTCACCACGCGGTCCTTACGTTCTCCCGCGTATGTATATAATAGTCATGAACAGTCAATCAGGAAATTAAAGCCTTTGTCGATTACACTATAGTCAAGGAGTCCAAGAAGTCCACTTCAAAATCAATGCTTTATTTTGTGGAATTCCTAATAAGTAAAACGTTATTGAAGGTAAATATCATAGTTTACTTGCGTTTCTGTTACGAACTCATCAATGGTCCAAGGGTCGTCACCAGGTAGCTCACAAAACACAGTTTCACTCATCTCTTTCAGGACTGCATCGATGCGTGCATCACGGATATCGTTGACTTGTTTAACCAGCAGATCAACTTCTCGTAACCGGCTGTACACGTTGGAAATGTAAGCAGGTATGTTGAGTGAATTCCAATTTAGCATGGTCACACCAGGACTAATCGCTACCTCCACCTACCAAAAGAAAACATTCAGTTAACGTTTTAGTTTTAAATCTTAAATCTTACTTACAATTGCATTTATTTCCGTGGCAAGCACACTCGTTGAAGGAAGATTATTTTCGATACATGGTCTAGCAAAGAAAAACTTGCCATGTGATTTGGTGCAGTAGAAAACCTCACGAGGGAGATTTCCCTTAAACTCTCAACGATTCCTTGACATGTGTCCACGCTAACTCATCTTCACTAGCAAATTTTGTTCTAAAAAGAACATAGAGGGGACTCTTTACTTCTCAAAGAAGAACGTGTGGTAGTTTGACATCTACACTGCCAAGACAAAGTTGCTTAATTATGGCTACACAAAACTTTCTTTTCAAGGTTTAAGCCCAAAGGCCAAAAGGATTAAACTCAAGCTTACTATAAAGCTAGTTTAAATGTAAAAAAACATTGTTCACTCGTGTTTTCAACTTGTAAGAGAGACTCGCATATATAATAATGACCGCTTTGCCATTAACCTGAGCGTGAAAAGAGTACTGACGAGACTTTGGGTGGGTTTCTACATTATCTAGTAACACTTTCAACATTAGAATGGAATGACTCGTGTACATTCGATTTTCTTTAAACGGGGCAAAATTGACAAAACCAAAAATCAACGTAAATATGTCTCAACATTGTACAACAGAAACTGCAATTAGATTAGTAAACTTACTCTTTGCATGTGGGGTAGCATCAGAGGCATAAAGATATTTGGGATCTTTGCGCGAACTTTCTTGACGTCTTCCAGCATCATCTGTGAATGAAAGGTGCATGTACTATAGAGATTCTGGGTATTTGTCTCGAGACAACCATATTTTCCCTCGTGCTCTTTCATGCTTTTTACAATGATTAAATTCAGTAACATCACTGGAAAGAAAAGCTTTTCCGTTTCATGTCAAGAAGTACATTCACCAATGGCTAGTTTGTTTCTCAAATTTTGTCATAGTTTGGATTAAGTGGTAACAGGACTTCGTGCTGTCCAGTTCTGTCAGCAATCATACTCGTATTTAAAAAAATCGGACTCCCGCTTCGTGGTCGTCCGATTTTGTTAATCACTCGTATCAGTTACAAACCAACTTGAATTCCACTCAGTCTTATTACCCTTACAAATCGGGCTGGTGAAAACCAATCACGCTCGAGAACTTTGTCATAGATTTACTTCGATATACTTTTCTGATAAATCACCAACCTTTAGGTTACCATCCGCCGTCTTAATAATATCCCTTCTTAAGAATATCAGACGTGCCGTCTCAGGTATTGGCAGGTTAAGCTTCATCATGTACTCAGTTTCACGGATCAATTGTATCAACTGAGGATCACAGTTTACATACAGCTCGCCCGTATCCGGATGTCGCACTAGCAGTGATGCTTGCAGTCCTAAAAATATGAAATATGAAAAGATCATTTTTCGCTTTCAGAAAATTAATAACACATCTATTTGAACTACGTCATTAACGAGGCACTTATTTCCCACGATGGAACTTAGTATGGCATTTGTTTTTCTCCTTGAAGGCGTACTGACTTTTCGGGTTACTATTCATTCAAGCAACAATGTACTAGGTAGGCAGACAATGGTTTGCAATGTTATTTTTTCCAGTTGAGAGCATTGTAGTCATCCTGTGACCCGTTCAAAAGCTGGGTCTTCCACTTAGCATTTAGTCGACGTAACAACTAAGAGCCATGGAGCCAAAAAAATATGAAAAACTAAAAAAAAAAGACGGAGATTTATTTTCTGTTGCCGCGACCAAAGTTGTATCGTTTGCATGTACTGAGTATCTGAGCAACTGCGCACCTACCCCTCCCCTAACCCAACATTAACCCTAATTTGTTATTAACTGATTGTTGTTGGGTTAGGGGAGAAGTAAGTGTACAGTTGCTCAGATACTTACATTGATCCCAAATGCTGTAGACCGTCACAAACTCTAACATAGCCACACACCTGTTTTGGCTATCTCTACTTGCTTAAGCCAGCCCTTGTGATACAGAATCTCAAACTCGACCAGCACAGTCGCTAATTGATTGAAGTTGCGAATGATTTTATATGCCTCTGGTGTTTTTAAACAGCTTGAGTGCTGCTCAAAGATGTTCATAGGATTCCGTATGCGCCTCATGAGCTGCCGTGCCCAGCTGATGCGACCCGAGATAGGAGGAACATCGCGATGCAAAGGAGGATTTTCACAGTGCCGCTGGTACATCTGCAATACAATTTAAAGCAACCAGTGACACGCATGTCTTGATTAAGGACATACATTTTTTGCCTCGTGCTTTACATGGAGCAGTTTCTACTACGTGTGACAATCAGGACGTTCTTAAACTCTGACACAAACGCCTGATCGTTAGGAAAATTGTCACATGGACTTGATAACGTGGTAAAATAATAAAGCACGAGAAAAGCTGAGCCATAATCATACCTGACCAATAAAGGACAATTTAAATGACAACTTTCCATATCATAGCAATGATGGACCATACCTTGGATATAGCTTCCACTTCCTTGCCAAAGTGATGGAGAAGACTGGCATAACGGTCTTCAATATGTGCCTGCAGACTGGGAATCCCAAGCTTCCCAAATCTGAAAGGCCAAAAATATTAGCTTTTTACTCACTAGAACATTGCTTTCAACCGTTATAAAGGCGACAGTTCGCCTTTACTGTAGTGTTGCCATGAATATCTCGGATCTCTGGTGCGATAGATGAAATTATGTTCACCTTGTCCTTAGGAGGTTTAAAATGATGGGACTCTTTAGCCTGTAAGAGCTAATATTACCACCGACCACCTAGAAATTCTCTAAGGTACGCATATCAGTCATAAGAAAAATTACTCACCTTCCCAGCAGCTCCAAAGACTGTGAGATTGAGACAATCTTTTCAAAGCAGCCACTCATAAACATTTTTAAGTGATTCTGTCAAGATAAAATAGTCAATATTGACGCCTATAATCTATCAAATGAGAAAGGAAAGGGTTTCACAAACCTCAAAGTCGCTGATCTGTCGCCTGAATTCAGTGAAATCCGCCTCAAAATCCGGCTTCCTATGATCCAACGGGTCATACGGCTTTTTCTTCAACGCCGAGTACATTGACTGGAATCTGTTAGATATCGGTTCAATTCCCTCTATCTTAGACTCTGACAGAACAGAATAAGTTTCCAATGCATCCAGCACTTCTATGATCTGCAATAGCAAAATGGAACAGGCTCTAAGATCTAGTCGTTTGATTTGAATTCTTTTATCCTCTCTTCGTTTCACTGCATGATACTTGAGACCCAAAAACCTTGATCTGGAGTCCCAAAGAGCCTAGTATCATTGCACCATGCCTTACCTAAATTATGCTCTGGTCGAAGTTCCATGGAACATAATTTTGAACATTGCTTTATTTAAAAAAATCTTCTAGGATTCCATTCCTCCTCCCTTGGCCTGTTCCACCCAAAGGTTCGTCACTGAAAGGTAACTAAAGCAGGACCCACCTGGTTCAAACGCTTACAAAAGGCGTCAAATTTGCCAAAGATGTACATCTCAGAAAATTCAAATGGTCTCATGGTTGGGTCCTCAGCGATTCGCTTCTTTGTCCGCTGGAAACACTTTTGATATTCTTGGTTTAATCTCAGACAAGCTTTCAGCTTCTCTATCATAGGCTGTCTAGGTTGATCCCAAACACGATTCACACCTCGATCAGTTAAGTAGTTCTTACATGCAGTAACCATTTGATTTGTTACCTGGAAAATAGCAGCAAGAAGAGCATAAATTAGCTTAAGAAGAGATCATGATCATCAATCAAAGAATCGTGATCCAAATCAATTAAATATTTTTTGCTTCCACACTATTGGTATGGACTGAAATAAAAATGTCAAAACTAGGGAAAATACAATAAACATTCCACTGGACATTCTCCTCAATGTGATACATAAGATACTCTTTTAACCCTTTAACTCCCATGAGTGACGAAGACAGAGATTCTCCTTACAATATCAATACAACATCAAGCAAACAAATGATGAGAATAAAGAAAAATATCAATTAGGGGATTAATAAATTAATTCAATCCCAAATTCTCCAAATTATCATCACTAGAACTGCATGGTAGACAGTAAGGAGAATTATTAATGAGATCTTGGGAGTTTAAGGATTAAGTGGCCAATTTTCATTGTCACCTCATTTTATCATAAAACCAAATTATCTTGCAATACCCTTAACTGTTGCAGCACCACAGCTTCTTTAGAAAACTACCCCCTTAATTCAATATGATGAACACCGAAGTTTTGATTTCCCTTTGAATGAAGGTTGCAACCAAAATCTCACACCCACAAGAGCAACATTAAAGTGCCTCAGTTACCTTTATGAAAAGTGATGTCATCCTTTGAGAGGTGTTGCAGTATCTTGATATGCTGTGTATCATCTGTATGGTATTGATTAGTTTAGGAATGCAGTCAATCATGGTAACCTTTGAGGAAAATCACAGTTTCCAAGGTGAGTCAATTTTAGGGTAAACACAGACACTTTTCCAATGACCTATAATAAGGTCTTGTCCTGGGCCCAGTTGTATAAAGGTCAAATGACACTATCCAACAGATAAGTCGTTATCTAGTGGATAAGTGATAACAAAACCTTTGACACTATCCACCAGATAGAGATTTATCAAGCAGGTAGCATTATTTGAACAACCAGGCCTGATGTGCCAATTGGGCACACATGATTCTAAGAAACCAGATGAGGCTCCATTGAAAATAAATTTGTTGCATACCGGGTCTGCATGATAGAGTGGATCACATTCCTTCTCCAAGGTGTAGAGGAACTTCACATTATCTTTGGCTTCATTGGCTGCATCTGTAATGCGACAATCCAACTCACGCCAAAACTGCCATCATAGAAATCAACAAAGTAAGATTATTGAGTTACATACCAATATGTGTAAGACACTGCCTAGGATAGGTAAACCTTTGATAGAGTACAAGGCAACCCACAAACATATATCAAATTCTCTTTTGAATTTTCTCTTTAATTACCAGACCCTTTCATACAATAATTTATAGGCAAAACTAACACCAATCTCAACCTAATAACATTTTCTTTATTTTAATGTTTGCTTGTTTTTCTATAGTTCTTGTTGCCTTTTTGAGTCATTATGTTTGGTAAGCACTATTGCCATACTTTGCTTTAGGTCTATAACAATAAATCAAGGTATAGTCTAAGTCCAAACTACATGTTGGTCACTAAGTTTTCTGTAAGTATTTAAATTAACTACTGACAAACCTGCGTCTTTAATAAGCCACAAAAAGGTCAATCAAAAGACTGAGTGATCTTCCATGTGGTAAAAACTATATCATTTAAATGTTTGTTGAAGAGATTCAATTTGTTACCTTGAGTGTTTTCGACTTGGCAATAAGCAGTATTTTTATGACTGCACGACACTCAGCACCCTTAATTTGTTCAACAAGTGAGTTGAATTTTGCCATCCTCATCTTCCAGTGCTCCAGTTCTGCCATAGGACCAGTGTCATCTGCCTCCTTCCGCATTTGTTCACTTTCAGCTAACACCTGTGAGACAAAAGCATTACATTTTCATTGTTACATGTGCATCAAACTATGAAACAGGAGGAGAGTTGAGTTCATCCTAGGGCCAAGAGAGTTACAGACTCAGCATTTTCCATAGTTTCCTAACAGTTTCCTACTCCCAGGTGAACAGAGGCTCCAAAAGAACACAGCCAGAGCTTAAACCATGCAGACTCTTCTCGACCCAAAAGACCCCTTTCAACAAGCCACTGCCTAGGTCTCTTAGACAAAATGAGACAAGGTGAGAGAAATGACTGCTTTGTTTGAATCCTTTTTTCAGAAAAGAGGTGTTTTGTTTATGTCAGCAGACTGAGAGGTATGAGGGAGTTATGAAGAATTCTGTATGCTTCAATGTCTCTTACTTCTCCACACTAACAATGTTTTCTTTTTCATGACAAATCTACAACATTTACAATAAGTGAAGAAAGCTATTTGATGTGGCATTATGTGGGGATACTGCAATCTAACAGTTATATTCCCCTCAATGAGCACAAAGATTCCTCTTAGTTTTGAGAACCTAAAATAACCAAGTTATCCTCACTGATTCCTTGAGGAAATGCTTGAGACAACTGCAAAAGCGAAGGAAAATAAACATATGAATATCATGTAGAGAAGGCTTGAATAAGAACTAACTTGTTCAATCTGTTTGCACCAGGAGTGTACCAGCTCATCCAGTCCAGTCAGTATATCTTGGTTGTTTGCTATGGCCTGATAGTCAGCTGGACCCTCTAGAGCAGTCACATCAATTAACTCACATGGGTGAAGAGTGATTGCTTCATTAAGTGCTGCATGAGCTCCTGCAATGGACAGATCAGTTAGAGGTTTTTTATGCGCTAAACATATTGAGGAAAACTGAAACACGAGGTAGTTTGGCTGGCAAAGGTCACTGACAGTGTAAGCTGCCACACATAGCTAAGAAGATGAAGCCCCTTGGGACATTCATACTCTCTGATTTCTTTATTTATCTATCCTAGTTATTATTAATCTATTCTTTCATTAATTTACATGTATTATCTATTTCTTATTTCATTTGATTAATTCATGTCTATCAGATTGGCATTTATTATGCATGAACTTGCCATAATTATTGCAACCATACATCTGAGATACTAACATGACGTTCTACTGCCTTTTAGTATGGCTGTGGTGGTTTTACATATGAATTTAATTTGAATTTAATATTCATCCTCAAAGGTTGTTGTTAGGTTTTTTTGCCATTCATTTATCTCCTTCCTATCAATTACTGTAAATTAATTTCTTAGTATAATGTCAAACATAACAAGTCAACTACACTCTCTAAGGAAAGGGGTGGTACATAATGAGTAATGTTGAAAAGTGTTACATGGCCTACATTTTGGCATTAAGTATCTCAAATATCCCACCATCAATAAAATGAACAAAGCCATCCAATGACTCAACAAACTGTGCACTGGCTTTTATTCCTTGTGGTGTCTTTTCCAGTTCTCCCCAGCTAGACATGGCTCTAATGGCTGGTATATAAATCTTTGTGAGATGTGTTCTTAGGGCTGGAATAAAGGATCCTGCTTCTCCAGCATTTATCATTCCAAAACATGCCTCCTAAAAAATCAATTACAATTTCCAGAAACAGTTTCTACAGTTTCTGTAAGTTTGTAATGAAGACAAACTGATACTTAAAAATTCATGTATTTTGACATCCCATGAAATGAGAGGATGTACAGTGCACTGACTCAAACCAGGCCCAGCAAGCAAGAATTTAAACCATGAACACTCTTTTATACACTGTTTGTTTTCATCCACATTTCAACTCAGACATTGACCCAATGGTCATTGAAATAACATTTAAATCCTTAAAAAAAAGAAAACTCTTTTAACCCTGCAAAGCCAGAAAACGCTATAAAACTCGGTTTTATGAGTACTCTAATCACATAAACATCACTAGTCAACAAAGAAGCTGAGACCCCATACTGTTTTGTATCTGAAATTTGGCTGAATTTAAAATACTGGAATCTTTAGCTTAAATTTAGCCCTCTTATTTATTTATTTTTTAATCAAACCCCTGCTTCACTGGATATACTATACACTAGAACCAAAAAAATTTTTTTCCACAAGCTCCAGTTGAGTACTTACATCAGCAATGTTTCTCATCTTAAGCTCTTTATTTGCATCAGCCTTCACACAGTATACTAGGGTCCCAGTCAGTTTCTCTTCAAGACCACTAGTTACTAGCAGCACTGCTACTTTACCAGACTTTACAGTACGAGCTCGTACCTCTGTGTCTTGAAAAACAAAGTCAAACTGTAAGATTAAAAAGGTTTGCTAATTTCAATAGCACCACTTGGTGTAACAAAATAACCTTCTAATAAATCATCTCAGAATTTTATCTCCTGATTTCATTAAATTGCTTTAAAATTTCTAGTAGAGGTCCATGAGAATACTTACGACTTCTTCCCTCATGATCAACCTCCTGATAGAAAAACATTAATGATCTTCTTCCCTTTGGCTTTAAAAAGCTGTTTATCAAGTAAACTGCCTAGAGAAAAAGAGACCAAATCCTTCTTTAGTCATGAAGTTGTTGGTTTGTTTCTCACTGAGTTTTTCCCAGTAGTAATCCTAACTTAGGAAGAAGTTAAACTTCAGTCAAAGTATTGCCCCAATTGTGTTTCTGTCCAAATTCCCATTGTCCACAGCTTTTTGAGTTTTGGGTCATTTTAGCCTCCATTACAGGAACCATCAACACTGAATATATTGACAAAAGAAAAAAAGGGGGAAGGAAGAGGTGTGGGAAGTTACACTTGAAAACAACCACTAAAAATAAGATCAGGACTGTTGAGGAATGGCTGTTACCAAATCTGCTGGAGAACACAAAGATTCCAGCTTAATTTGAAAAAAGATACCACCTTCCACATGAGCCTGTATATGCATGTATTTGTGACCATCACTGCTCTTAAACCTTACTCCACTTAACTATCATTTCACTAAACCTCATGTTGTGAACATGTTGTTTGAACCTGACAATTATTAAGGACCACTAAAACATTCAAGAGAGCAGAGGTAGATTCAACCCCAGAGAGTGAAAAATCACTCTTTTGAAGTTGATCACACATACATACCTTTTTTTTGCCAACATCAGGAGCCCATTACCCAGAGCTTTTGATCGACATTTATCTACATAAAGGAGGATATCTGTGACATCGTTTCAATTGGTTGTGTTGCCATAGCAACAACACAAAGACGCTTACGCATGTACTGTTAAAACCTTTCATTATCCCAACTTAAGCTTTCAAGCGTCAGCGTTTTCATGAAAACCATGGAAACAACATTAAGATACCTGATATAGAGTACTTTTACCTCTCCTCTCATTTTATTGCGAAAGGAATCACAGGATTAAGGGCAAAATCTTGCGGAAAGAGTTAAACTTACCTCTTCTGAATCAAGTACGAATTCTTCAACTGCAGACACATCCAGATCTACGTAGCCTCCAACGATTCCCATGAGAAATCTGTACTCGTCCGTTATCATTCGCTTCCTTGCTTCACGGTGTTCTCTCACTTTTTGCTGTAGAAAATGGTTCACACCGCTTACAAAAAACTTCACAAGCAGGTTAACAAGATTTATCATTTCTTTGATACCTAAGCTTGCTTAAAAGTTGGCAAATGACGAATGGGGGTAAACTGAAATTGAAGCAAAAGAGTAAAAAAAAAAGGTTCCCTTCTATTAATTTTTTCCACAAAACGCTCTAAGTAAGTAGTTTTTTCATTCTGTTTTAAGATTTATTTGTTTCGATTCGTACCTGCCTTTCTTTAACAGTTTCGCCAGTCAAGGGATGAGCGAAAAGCGAAGTACCGGTACTACCTTTCAGAGAACTTCGCCTGTTTCTATCAGCTTTTGACCCACCAGAATGCTCCTGGGATGCACCACCGGCACTTTTCTTCGAACCTTTTGAATCCTTGACACTCGGCATTGTTCTAGTGTTCACCCACTTTCAGGGTTCAGCCGTGTTTTGGCAGCTTTTTCTTGGACGCTCTAACAGTTCTGTAAGTTGCAAGCGCTCGGAAAAAACGGCTCAAATCCGACGAATTCCTTTCCTAATTCGAATTGAAAGTAATCATGAAACTATCGCGTTATTTCATATCCATAACCGATTAAAAAAAAAAAGGTTTCCCCTCAGTATCCTCTAGGTTTTCTCGGAACAAAAATCCTCGCTTATCCGCGAAAATTTTTGAACTGCAAATTTGCGTAATAGTTTTTTAACCAATCAGATGCCAGAAAAATAAGCTATCAATCATTTTGTTGCTTAGATACATATTATGACATTTCGCGTCCATTTCGCGGGTCTCGCGCGATTGCATATCTAACGTCTAATCAACGCCGCTTCGATCAGGCATCGGTCAGCGGTTATCCTCAAAGGTACAAAAGCTTTGAGATTTTAGATTGCCCAGCGTTTTATTAGGACTTTCAAAACGCGATAATCTGGAAAAGATAATCGAAAATGATCTACAGAATGATATATCCGTTAACTGTAAACTCTGTCATGTCCTGTGTGACATTTTTTGTGGCGTTGAAGTTAATTTCAGGTATGAAATCGCTGTTCCTTAAAGCTGGGCTGTGCGGGAAAGACCTCAACAAGAAAGACAACAAAGAGAAAGTGTAAGTCTTGAGAGATCTTATTTCGGGGCTTGGGCTGATAAGTAATGGAGATCTAGAGGTTATCACAAGAGGATAATTCCAGACGCTGTATTCCTATGGCTGACTCATGTTGCATGGTGATTTGCCATGCAATTAATTAGTCGTACTCCAATTCAAACAATACGAGTACTTGTTATTAAATCACTGTCTATCCTCGTGATTAGAGAGTGGAACAGTTTTTTTAAGATGACTCCGAAGTTTTTACTTAATTATCATAGCCTTATTGTAATCTATACTTGCTGTAAAAGCTTTTTTTGTAGATTTCTGTTCATCAATAAATTAATACATTTTTTGGTAATACAGCTGTGTTGATCTTTGTCAAAAATCAAAACACTTTAGTCCAAATTATTCTTCCTTTAATAATTCTACGTCTTTAACCCCCCTTTTAGTATTCAGAGATGCTTATGGGTACTCTTCAGTATTCACTGCATCTGGCTCTTGATAAGTGATTGATATCTTGGAATTAAGATGGTGTTAATTCTTTGTTACTATGGTGAAAGTAATCCAGAAAAGGTCTGTTGTTGGCAGAATTGGCAGTCACTACTACCAAAAACAGTTCCTTTCAGGACCATTTCACCTGCCACGTTGGATTACATGATCAACTGTTGCTTCAGTGTTCCAACCATTTACTTCATCAATAATGTTGCCAAAAACTGTTGTGAATATTTTTCCTATAGATCAGGACATGGTTGTTTAAAAGGTGGATAACACAAACCACTGGATAAATCCATATTGAGTGGATAGCTCAGTATGTTTTGTTAACATTTATATGCTGGATAACGATTTATCCATTGGATAGAATTATTCACCCTTTATACAACTGTACCCAAATGTTTATTAATAATTAATGTACATATATGTTTTAATTCCACAGTGCAGAGGGTTTAGGAGTTGTTAGTGGAGCAGTATTTCTTATTACGATGTTTTTATTCATCCCAATCCCTTTTCTCTCTATTTGGTTTGAGAAGGGTGATTATGATTTTCCACATCATGAGGTGAGTTTATCTCATAAATGTGAAGGTATAAGTAGCTTCTCCTGCTTATAAAAACATTGTATACTCTATAAAACATGTCTTTGAGCAGGTTATGCAATTAAGAGGAACCATGTGTCAAGCTCTTTGACTTTATTACCACTGTTCTGTTACTGAGAATTACAGAAAATTGTTTGGTCAATTTGTCCTAAAACTTGCTTCTTGATCCTCACAACAGTGAAGATATGAAAATCAAATTTCAAGTAAAGACTGTCAACTTTCCCAATTGGCTGGTGCTATTTGAGATTTAATCACAGTCTACAAGAAAATGGAATTGAATTTTTGAGGTTCCTCATCTTACAAGGTTCTTTACCTATGTGTGGATTATTTTAACCAACATTACTGTTCCTTAAATAGTTTGTCATGTTCATCACTGGCCTTCTGTCCATCTGTTGTATGATCTTCCTGGGATTTGCGGATGATGTTCTTGATCTCAGGTGGCGAGACAGGCTTCTTCTGCCGGCAATGGCATCTCTTCCCCTCCTCATGGTCTACTGTGTCAATATTGGTGTTACAACAATCATTGTACCAAAACCCATCAGATTCATTTTCGGCTTTGATGTAGATCTAGGTAAGGTTATATAGTTATGCGGCACAGTTTTGAATTATGGCCTCTTAAGTCAGTTGGTTAAATGCTTTTGTGGTTTCTGTGACCTGTGAGAGCTCAGTTATTGTACAAAGCATTATGTAACTCAAGAATAAAAAGAAATGAAACTATTTAATAGAATAAACACATGCTTCCATTTTATTCTTCAGGAATATTATACTATGTTTATATGGGAATGTTAGCAATATTCTGCACAAATGCAATCAATATCTTGGCTGGTATCAATGGCGTTGAGGCAGGACAGTCGCTCATCATTGCAGTCTCCATTTTGATGTTTAATTTCATTGAGCTTCAAGGAACTTGTTGTTGGCAGGCTCATTTGTTCTCAGCATACTTCATGATGCCTTTCATTGCCACATGTTCAGCATTACTTTATCATAACTGGTGAGTTGTTGTCTGAATTAAGTGAAAACTGCTGAATTAACCCTTTCACTCCCATGAGTGTGCAAGACAGAATTCCTCCTTAATCCTCTAACTCCCAAAATCTTATTAGTAATTCTACTCACTGTCTACCATAGAATTCTTAGGATGTCAATTTGGAGAATTTGGTACTGGATCAATTAATAATCCCTGAATTAATATTTTTCTTTATTCTCATCACTTCTATGCTTGATATTGAATTGATGTTATAAGAAGAAATTCTGTCTTGGTCACTCATAGGAGTTAAAGGGTTAAAATATCAATGCAATACCTAGCATCAATGAGAATGAAGAAAAATATCAATAAGGCAATTATAAGTTGATCCAATAACAAATTCTCTGAACTAATATGATAAGAACTGTAGAGCAGACAGTCAGGAGAATCACTAGGAGAATTTCACTTTCTGTCACCATTACTGTCCAACTCTGAAAACCATAAACACCTGAATTATAGACACTATGTGTTACATTATATTATGACCAATCCTAATGGAGACCAAGGCATGCAAAATCACCTTCAAACCACAAACTAATTGGCAATACTCCACACAGGTCAGTTTTTCCACATCTGATTAGCTTTCTCTGTCAGAAACCAGAATTTGTCCCATGTCCATAGTCTTCTGAATTTTACATTACTGTAATGCATATATTGTATTTTTTTAAAATCATTTTTCATTTGACATGTTAAGTGTTTTTAAGTTACAAGTTCAAGTCATCCTTACTACCTTTCCCAGAAATAAACTAGTAAAACTTTAAATCAAGAATAAAAGTGAACCACAACACATCTTTCTTATATTTGTCCAATATTCCATTTTAGGTACCCATCCTCTGTATTTGTTGGAGACACATTCTGCTATTTTGCAGGAATGACATTTGCAGTAGTTGGCATTTTAGGACACTTCAGTAAAACAATGTTGCTGTTCTTTATTCCACAAGTTATCAACTTTGTTTACTCAATTCCTCAATTGTTTCGTTTCATACCATGTCCAAGACATCGACTACCAAGGTGAGTTTGGAAATGTAACAAGTGGTTAGACTATAGCTGAATCCAGGGCTTTAAAACTCCTAAGATCCAATTAATGACCCTCCCAATTGACTGTTACATGTTTACACTTGAATAGGACAGGAGAACTCCATTTTAAATCAAGAAAACACTCTCCAATTGACAAGCATCTCAGTTCTCATAACCTCTTTGGAAGATAATGTATTGGAATGGTAATGAGAAGTTATGAGCTAATCACCTCTGGGAATAAGGGTTGACATGGGTCATGTGAAATTCTAATTAAGTTTAGCAAGTGAAAAGTTTAGCGTCTGAAATGTGCCAAAGTTCACGTTGTATCATTTTCAATTATTATTGATTAACTTTTTTCTTTTATAGGTTTAACCCAGACACTGGTTTGCTAGGAATGAGTTACAGTGTGTTTAAAATGTCTGACCTTCATCCGTTAGGGAAACTTATATTGTCAGTGTTCAGTCTTCTAAGATTAGTTACAGTGGAGGAAGGTGTTGGTGAAGACAAAAAATCTACACGCGTGAACAACTTGACACTTATAAACTTTGTTATCAAAGTGCTGGGACCCTTACATGAAAGAACATTGACAATAATAATCATGGGAATACAGGTAAAATTATTAATTAAAAACCTCTATCAGTATTTATGAAGGACCACTTTACAGTCACATAATTTGCTCAAGGCCATGAAGTATGAACCAAGGGCACTGAAGTCCATACATTAGGACTGAGAGCCGAATATTTGCTTGTTCCACTCAAGTTTACTCAGTCAGTAAACATTTTCATTACAAGCCTAACTCTCTTTCTCTGTCTCTTTTTTTTGGTTTAGTTCCCTTCTTGTAGAGCCATGTGGCTCTTTCCAACCTGCTTGCTTCAAGGTTAAGCCCTATTTGTACCTGCCAGTCATTTTCTATAACAAGTTTCTATTGTTATTTTTTTTCTACGTTGCTGTACAATTATCACAAAGGGATATCTTATCATAAGTCCTCTTCAAATATTAGCAAAGAGTTTTAGAAACAAGAAAACATGTTGAGGACACTTCTTGGGGGAACATTTACAGGTTTGAACAACTAGATAGAGAAACTTGGCAACTTTTCCAGAGTTCTTTTTCATGCTTTTTTTTTCCTGTTTTCTTTTTGAGCAATTGTGCCTGACCTTGTTGATGTAAAATACAAGAAATACCCTCAGATTTATTAAATTTGCAATAGAGAACAATTTTCCAAGCCTTAATGTTTTGTGAAACAAGTTAGGTATATTGTGTTTCCTTCATGGGTAACGATCAATCAGAAACATTTTTGCACATGTATATGGTGCATGTAGATTATAAACCTCAGTGATGTAATTAACATTACAAATATATAGAGATCTATGCAGCCAGCTAATTTTGAGTTCTTTTCTTTGCAGATTTGTGGAAGTGTTATTGCCTTTATTATTCGTTACCACCTTGTGAGGTTTTTTTATGACATTGAGCAGCATTGAACTTATCTTTGATTTTAGTGTTATGAACCTTTTAACTCCCTTGAATGACCAAGAGAGAATTTCTCCTTACAATATAAGTACAATATCAAGCAGACAAGTGATGAGAATAAAGAATAGCATCAATAGGGGATTATTAGTAAATTCATTACCAAATTTTCCAATTAACATCACAAGAACTATATGGCAGACAGCAATGAGAATTACTAATGAGATCTTGGGAGTGAAAGGGTTAATAATCAATTCATAATAATAATGGAATAGTTATTTGTTATGCTTGAAAATTAAAAGAAAGAATGCCGATCTGTATGCAGATTTAAAAAGCTTTTTTATAGTCATTTCTGTAAAAATTTTGTACATTAACATGATAATTGCATGTGACAATCAGACACAATTATTTGTAAAGATTAAAAAGCTCATGATGTCACCAAATTGTTTGATGCTCCTATGGAATAAACCCTTATTTTAAGCCTCAAGAGTGACTAACATTTAATTTCTCCTTTTGGTTTCTCCCCTGAATCAAACATTAAAGTCATGAGAAGAGAGAAAATGATCGCCAACTAAAGCAGATCAAATTCTCCTTGTCAGCACCTTAAGAAATGTATACAGAACAGTATGGAGAGTATAGATTCTGATGTTGGGGTTTAGAGGGTTAACTGCTGATTGAAATTTTTTTGCTCTAAGATTTAATTCTCAGACTGTGTTGTGCCTTGAAGATACGTCTGTAAACTTTTTTTCCTATCACACGCACACAATAAAAAAACAACAACAGAAGCAGCAGCAACAAATGTAAATGCAATTTCACCTCGAGTCAGCATTCACTAGAGACAGACTTGGAATTGAAGTGGTAATCAGAGTAGTATGATTTAGTGAAAATCCAACCAACAGAATTTGTAGCCAAATATCTATGCTGCAATGACTCTATTGCTCTTGAAATTAAGGTGAAGTTTTTATATATTTGTGGACACTTCTCTGACTTTCTCTTTAAATTTTATTTAAAACTATATCATTGGGATTTCAAAATAAAAAGTCCACAAAAAAAGACAACTTCCTTTCCCATTAAAATACTTTATTTAGACTTAAGCAACCTTACCCCAAACCCATATGAATACAATTTAAATGCTTCCATCTTTGCACGTGATTAAATACATGTACAAAACATGGTCTTATGTAAGTTATAGAAAATTTCTTATGAACAGGAACAGGTATATCTCTAACTCTTTCATTTGTTTTTTGTATAAATCCCTTAGTTATCTTTTTAAATATATTTGTTTAAGCTAAAAAAAAGCAACAGGAACAACAACAATGAGGGCTCTTAGTAGTTCACAGGGAACAGTACATGCTGGGATGTATTTTGGCACAAGAGAGTCCTTAAATGCACCCATTGTCTTGTGGCATCCACAGTAATTTCACCTGCTACCTGTCAATAATGTCCTTTAGTTGAGCCTTAATCTTCAGGAAGTGACGCTTGAAGTCTAAACCATCACCCTGAGAGGAAAAAAATGTCCAGAGTTAGCCACAGAATGTTGTAGTACTGTAACAGTAGAACCCCTCATAACTCAAACTCCCAATGGAAACATAAGTTGGAGTTAGCAGGAGTTCAAATTAGCTGATAGTATAGTGTACCATCCTCTTACCATTTGCCACGTAGAACCAAAAATTTTACAAATCTTTGAAACAGTTCTCATTGTATTCATTTTTCTTAATTCTACAATATCAAATTTATTTACCTTGGATAATCTGAAGTCCACCAACAGAGAGGGATGCATATCAATGAGGTTTACTTTAACACTCAGTTTATTTTGTCGTCTGTCAGTTGTCAATATTGTGACCTACAGTGTATTAAAGAAGAGAAATTGTTTAAGTTGATTTTTTCCTAGGAACACATTCTTTCTACTGTATGCTTAAAGATAAGAAATTTACTATACAAGAGTCTTCATCAGTAAAACATTTCATTTTGCTCTCTAGAAAAACAAGGGCCATGAGAAAATTGTGCTTTGCTGGTCTAACATTATTCTTTCTTACACTATCTTGCAAGATGATCAAACCCTTTGATGCCTAACATCACCCAGCATCTAATTTCTCCCAACAATATCAGCCCTGAATCACACATCAAGGTCATGAGAATAAAGGAAATGATCACTGACTAAAGAACCTCTTGATTGTTGAAAAAATTCTTCTGTTAGCACCTCAAGAATTGTATTGAGAACAGTATGGAGAATATGCATGCTGATGTTAGGGTGTAAAGGGTTAAGGTGTATCTCTTTACCTGACGAGGAGAATTCACAGTAAAGCTATATTTAAGTTTGTCCAAGACTTCCTTTAACTTGTGAAGTGTCTTGTCTGCACTCCTCTTTGTGTGGAAACGAGTCATACGCTTAACCAGACTCTGGAATGGACTCTAAAAGGGAGCAGTAAAGAAATGTGTACTCATTAAAATCATTATTGTCATCTGGTTGTTAAAAATATAACTTTTGCCTTGACTGATTTGTGCCCGCAGGGTAACTTTTAACCATATAGTGTTATTATTCATGTGAAGGTACTTGTTCAAGGTCTCTAATTAAATGGTGTTTGCATTGGCTGCTACTGCAAAACATCGGATTAGACAAATGTAATATGTAAAAAACATTTTATCTTCACCTGTGATGTTCCAGGAGTAGACTGCATCTGTGTGCTTAGTAACATGTGATCCAGATGGACCGGCTGTGAGAAACACAGTCCATTCACTGTCGCCTCGTCATCAACAAGCTCCAATGCACCACTCCCAATACCACTGTCCAGTCTGCGGGGCTCAGGCTGAGAGGCAGATATGTGATCCCTACAGAATGCAAGGGAAAGTCTTGCAAGCCTAGTTCACAGAACACTCACAAAAGAAGCTTATCTGGATTTTGGAAATGTGAGAAACCACAAATTTTATGACAAAGAGTTTATTTTCAGTGACAGTTGTTAGAACCTTTAGCTTGGTTGCCCTAAGCTAATAGTAAAGCTGTCCAGAAAACTACACATGTATCTTGCCATGGCAGTGAGATCTGCATCAGTATTGATTACACTTTGAACAACTTAGTGCAAAGAAGTTTTGCAAATGACAGAAAGTGTTTTGCCTAAAACACATGTACATTACGAGTATCCAGAGAGCTCACATCCAAACTTCTTGATCAAAAATTTGCCATGCTAATCATTGCTTATAGCATAAATGCTGCACATCTGTTTGGAAAAATATTTACCAAGTAGTAGTAGGAATATAATGATATGGCTAGTCACAGCACAGTACTCACTTGTATCTTTTTGGTCGTTGTGGAGAAGAAACATCTGCTTCAGTACATCTTCTCTTAAATGTTCCTGTACCTGTGGGTGTGTTCCCTGGAGAACACCCTTAAAAACAGAAAGATTTACACATTTGAATTCCAATAACTCAAACCCTTGATAACTAGAACCTTGCACTTACACGAGCCAAAAAATATTTCCCCTCAATTTGCGACATACATTTTCAACAATCTTACCCTCAGTATTTCAAACCCTTGATAACTCTAACCTCTTGCTAACTCAAAGCAATTTCACTTGTGAGATGTTGCTAAATCTGGTCAGAAATAGTAAAAACTTTAAGGACATTCACTAACCATCTCTTGGACTTCTTGATGTACTTATTGATCTGGAGGTAAAATAAATTGAAAAAGAATGCAATAAATTTAACCCTTTGCTCCCCAACATCAATATGCATGTTCTCCATACTGTTACCTTAACATTTCCTATGGTACCAACAGGGAGAATTTGTTTGATAATCAAGAGCATCTTTATTTGGGATCATTTCTCATTTTCTCATATCCTTAATGTTTGATTCAAAGGTGATATTGTAAGGAGAAATTTGATGCTGGTCACTTGTAGGTATTAAAGGATTAAAGCATAAAAGCAAATCATACAGACAGCCTTACCTAGAAAACCATCGTTCTTTCTTTATTTGTGGTATTGTTAACCTCCTTTTAGCATTTTCCACAAGAATTTCTGACAAGAAATCTACAGGTAAAAGAAAGGTATACATGCAGATTTCAACAGAGGACACCAACCTACAAAGGATAACTTAAACAAAGATGTTTTTTCGTCTTCTCGCAAGCGTGGGATGAAGAAAAATTCTGAGTCTCCATGAGGAATTGAACCTCAGACCTTCAGATTCCATGCTCCCATGCTCTAAGCCCATTACAAAGTTCCAATAAGAAATGCATCCAGCATACTGCTAGGATCAGCAATTTCAATAATGTCATGTCTTGTAAATAGAATAAGAGAGATAGTAAGTTTTAAGCTCAATAAAGAAATAGAGAGAGATGTTTTTTGTCTTGTCACAAGTGAGGGACTAACATGATCAATAACAAGGAACTGAAAAGAAACACTTACTGTACTTTATCAGTGAAAAGAGACTGACCAATCACATATTTATTACCAATAATACTTTAACCAAACAGCTAATCACATCACAGAACAAATGACTACACAATTAACAAGAACAAATGTTTAAAATACAACTTAAGAACAACCCTCATCTTTGATAATGACTTCAGTTCTAGCTGTCTTATTACCATTCAGTTACTTTCACCCATGCTCTTGACCCTTTAATTCCCAGATCACATTTGAAATTCTCCTTACTGTCAACCATACAATTCGTATAATATTAGTTCAGAGAATTTAGTATTGGATCAACTAATTATCCCCAAATTGATATTTTTCTTTATTATCATCAGTTATCCAGTTGATATTGTATTGATACTGTAAAGAGAAATTCTGTGTTGATCATTCACAGAAGTTAAAGAGTTAACCTCCACCACTACATTTTCCACACATGTGTTTATGCATTACTTTTACTTCCACACTTGAATTTGTAACTTCATAATAAAAATGAACAAACCTAATGACTGTGGGTCCATTTTGCACCAAGGTGTCCTGTTTACTCTGCCATTGAGCCAGTCATTATACTCTTTGTTTGATTTTGTTGGTTCATCCCATGGAAGCTCTATTTTTGATAAAAAATTCAAATACATTCACAAAGATACTGACTTCTTACAGAATTATTTATAGGGTTTCATGAAAAGCTTATTACTGGTGGTCTACTGCTGCCTATAAAACCTCTTACCCCTGCCTGTGTAGCTTACAAGTTGGATTTTGCCTTACAGCACCTTTTAAGCACATGTGCCTATCACACCATCAGCCATGGCTTATGTTAAAAGTTATAGAAACCCTCGCATATTATGTTAAGGACATTGATTTACACCTGCAGTGAAGGCAGCATGAAGTGTTGAGGCACAAGGCATGAAGCTGATATATTACACAGGGTGAAGCTGAGGAGGGGTCCAGGCGTGTGAACCCTTCCATTCACCTCACCCTCCTGAACCCTTAAACTCTCAAGATCTGATTGTTAACTCTCCCCTCTAGCTGTTATACATTACCTTGTATATTAGTTATGAGAATTTGGTGTTAGATCAGGATGAAAACTTCTACCTAATACGTTTGAGCATCATAATAACCTGTTTGCTAGGTGGTGTACAGATATTACAGGGATTACAGGGAGTTATTTCATGTTAGTCACTTCTGTTAGTTCAAGGGCTAAGGAATTCATAGTTAATAGTAATATTATTATTAATAGTATTATAATATTTTCATATTACAAAAGAAGGCTTTTAACTTCCAGTAAGTGTTTGTTAAGTGGTCCAATCAACTGTCCTAAGGTTTATTCCCTTTTCTCTAGACAATATTTTTAAATAATTGAAAATTAATTTTATCAACTAAAAAATAAGAAGTGACTACTTACCTCCTGCCAACATTGCGACAAGAACAATACCACAAGACCAAATGTCTGCAGGCTCAGCTCTATATTCACCCTTTAAAAGAACCTACAAAGAGACACACCTTAACTTAAGTAACCCAGATTACTGTTGACTTTGTCCCAATTCTTGTGACATAGAAGAACAGTACACATGTACATAAGTACATGTATATGATCACTCCATCTGGATGGAATGCTAATCCATTACAGGCTGCCCTGTTCTTCACAATTTTCTGAACTATTTGAAAGAATCAATTTTTACCCCTGAGTAGACTTGGTCAATCACTCAGTCACTGTGAAAGTTGAGTGTGTTTACCAATCTTCTTTGCTCCTGTCTGTGCATTGTTTTGTCCCTTTTGGACTTGCAAAACATGAAATTTATCTAAGAATGTGTGAGCACTCTAGATTTATCTACAACCATAATATTATCTGATTTCAGACAAAATGTTCCTAATCCTAAAATTAAATTTTAAAAAGACTGAGCCCAGCACAATAATCCCACAAAGACCCAGACAACAACACCCTACTGATCTCAGGGCAGAAACTACCAGGGCCACAGTTTGATTACATGTAATGAGAAATGAAGATTAGTAAAAAGCTTTAAGTGTTATTCCTACCTCAGGAGCAACATAGGGAGGTGTCCCACAACATTTTCCTAGTAGACGTTCCTTTCCTTTGTGTCGGAATACCGTTGACAAGCCAAAATCAGTGATCTTTAAATTATCTTTTATAACACAGAAAACAGACAGATAAGGTGAATCATTTAGTACAGCAATATGTTTGAAATTTGGTATGATTTGAACAATTGTTTGACTTTCTCTTACCATCAGCATCCAACAGAAGGTTCTCAGGCTTTATGTCTCTGTGTGTGACACCTTGCTTGTGAAGATACTCCTGTATGTGACATGCGGAGAAAGAAAACAAGTCATCTCAAAAGTCTGGTAATAACTTAACCCATCACACCTTAACATCAGTGTACTCCATACCAGATGGAGACTTAGCCCTTTTCCTTTATACCGATATGCCTTAGACTTAAGATTAAAGAAAGACAATACTTAGTCATTCACAACGTCTAAGAATTCCATGCGCATAATCCTCAACTTGGTACTAACGGTACAAGTTATCTAACATATAACACCATCATACCACGCCCTCAATAAGCTGCCTGAAGTAGCGATGAGCTTGTGAAAGAGGCATTCCAACATCAGGTTCTATGGAGGAAAAATGGACATCTTGTTACTCACACTGTATCTGATCAAGTACGTGTTGGTTAGTTCTTTTACTAACACTACCAGAAGAAAGAACACATTTACTTGGCCCCTCCACTTTACATTTAAGGCAGGACTCACTCTTGCATAAATTCTAAAGGACTTTTGCTGTACTCAATTTTGATGTTACAGTACATGAATCAAGTCAACTCAGTGAGACAGACATGATCAAAACAGCCTTTACATGTCTGTCCTAGAGAAGGGCCAATTACAAGAACCTGATATCCATTTAAGGAGATTTTCCATGCGACATTTGACAGTTTAACTTCAATGTAAGCTGTTGTTTCTAAATAACTGAGAAGTCTACCAGGGAGAAAATCCAGGAAATTAAGAAAGAGACCAGATGGAAAGAAATCAAAACCTCACTCAGTACCGACAAAATCTGCTAATAATCTTCCACATTAAAAAGGAAAAAAATTTGAAATCTCAAAAAGGGAGAGGCAGAGCCCTCTTGCTCCTCTCCCCCCCCCCAACCTTACAGTGCCACTCCCTCTACGTCGTACTCCCTCCAAATATTCTCATACCTACAGCTACACATGATTGCATGTGCTTATTTTGACAATTGCACAGGAGAAGGAGAAGCTCTTAAAGGAAAAGATTACCCCACATCGGTGAAGAACATGTTAGCAAGCAAAAATCAAATCACATTTTGTAATTTACATGATCTTATTAAGCTAACCTATTCTGTCAAATAATTCTCCACCGCCGGCGCACTCCAGAAACAGATACTGTTTCTTCCCTTCAGTTCTTTGTCCGTAAAACCGAATAACGTGAACATCTTGGAGCATGCGATGAATACAAATCTGCCGACACAATAAGTCAATTTGTAAATGATATATATTTTAATGCACGTGCTTCTACAGAGGTTAATACTGCAGCGATTCTCTCTCTGATCCCTCACATCAATTGTCTCGATTTCGATAATCCCCACTAACCTCTTTCCTGACATTATCGTAGCAATCAGCAGCTTTCTCCACATCGATAATTTTCACAGCAATCGCCTGCTCCGTTTCTCTGTTCACTGCTAGTTTTACTCTAAATATAGAACATTGAAGAATCGAAGACAAGTAGTCATTCATCTATATCATTCACAATAACAACAAATTCAGGATTCGCGACACTTACTCGCCATAAGCACCTTCACCCAGCGTCTCTACAAAATCCCATCCTTCGACAAAAGGTGTCATCCTACCATTAGAATAAGATCAACGCTTGAAATTTCTCGTTTTCACAAATTACAACTTCACAGCCGCCATAATTATGCAACGCAATGCTGATGAGTGAACGCAAATTTCGCGCGCTCTTTCAAGGCACTAGTCACGTGCCAAATAATACCAAATACGGTAAAACTCACCTGAAGGAACATGTCAGCCTCCAGTTAGTAAAATTTCCTTTTCGTTAAATGAAATATTTTTCAGTTTTTCATCCTTTAATATATTACTTTTTCAGAATTCCGTATCGCGCTGATTCAGCTTGCAGTGACTGCAAACAAGGCTCAGAATTTGCTGCGTGCTAAAGACAAGATCAAAGAAGCTGTCTCTAACGGAGCGAAGATTGTCGCACTGCCGGTAATATATACCTTTTGGAGAAATTTCCACCATGAAATTGTTAACCAAAGTGTTATGAGAGATTCATGTAATCGAATAGGAACTCATATTATGGTGGTGTTTTGGAGTCAAATGGGATGTTTTCAGTGATCCTTTGATGGGATGACTGACTGGGGGAACTCCTACATTAACAACCCTACCCCTTTTAAAGGGGAACGTTTTTGGAAGGGGAGGGGGGACTCTGAAGTGCAAAGCTCGGACAAAATACCTCAAGACACATTCTCTTCTTTGTTTTAGAGACAATACACTGAATCCCTATATTAAGGAAACATTATCATCATTTCAATCATGGTCCTATATGAGATTAATTTATTTACACGTTGCAGAGACCAATTTTTGGAATCAATTTTTAAGCATTGAGTATTAACCTTTAATCTAACATCAGTATGAATATTCTCCAAACTGTTCTCCATACATTTGCTAAGGTGCTGACAAGGAGAATTTGTCTAACAATCAAGAGCTTCTTCAGTTGGTGACATTTCCTTAATTCTCATGATCTTTCTGTGTGATTCAGGGGTGATATTGTGTGGAGAAATTAGATGCTAGTCACTCATAGGGGTATAATTTTCCTTGGAAATAGTAGGCGACAATAGACTAAATCTCTACATGATATTTTAAATCTCACCAATTTGAGATTCCAGTATTCATAAGCACCTTCTGTGTCACCCTTATAGAAGAAAATTGGTTTTGTCAACTGAGTTGATAATGTAAATTGACCACTGTAAAGATTTTCTTAAGTGTAGTTTCAATTGTTAGCCCTCCTAGTTTGAAAACACCAAATTATCTTGCGTTATCCCTCGCCAACACAGCACCACATTTTCTCTAGAAAGTTATCCCCATTATTCATTTGTCACCTTCTAAGGTTAGTTAAGGAATTATTCTTTTTATTATTTTCTTAAATTTAACTTAAAAATAATCCGACTCCATCAGGAATGTTTCAATTCACCTTATGGCACTCAGTATTTTGCCGATTATGCTGAGCAAATTCCAGGGGAATCCACAAACATGCTATCATCTGTTGCTAAGGAGACAGGTTGTTACATCATAGGAGGGTCTATCCCTGAAAGTGATTCTGATGGGAAGCTGTACAATACTTCAACTTCTTTTGGACCTGATGGTGCCATGCTTGCCAAACACAGGAAGGTTAGCACACTAATGCAGCCCCAAGTTGTTGTCAGATTGAGAAGTTGGTTAACAATTTATAGCTGTTGTTTTTAACTCCCACCAAGCCATTTAGATTTTCCTAATAAATGACCTCAGATTTTTGATATTGAGATTTTAATTCTCAGATTTTGACCCTAGAGTTGGGTAAATAAGAAAATTTGAGGAGTATTGAATATCTATACTTTTACATGCTTTGTTCCAATCTGTATTTTTATCAATCTATGTGGGCAGTGTTGGGTTTCCAAATTCTGTTTTGCTTAGCACCATCTCCTTCTCAAATTTCAATTTTTTTTGTTGGAAAAGAGTACAATGTCAATCTCCCTGATACCACTTGAATCCAGTTTGTTATTTTTTTCTTTATAAAGAATTTTTCTGAACAGGTATCACTTATTTTTCATAGGTTCATCTCTTTGATATTGATGTTCCAGGAAAAATTCGCTTTCAAGAATCAGAAGTTTTGTGTGGTGGGAAACAGCTGACAATGATGGATACATGTATGTTGGTTTAAAATCTTTTATCTTTATTAATCACTCTAAACTGGGAATGCTGCCGTTGTTGAAATTATTTTTTAATGTTATTGTTTATGTGGTTGTGGAAGCTATATTCATTTTACCTGAAGTCATGTTATTTTTTTGGCAGCTCTCTGTAAAATAGGAATTGGAATCTGTTATGACATCAGGTTTCCAGAGATGGCTCAAGTTTACACACAGCAAGGTGAATGTTGATCAATTACAAAGCTGAGAACAGCTAGTCTGCCATCTTTTTTACTTCCTACTTTCAAACTTGTCAACAGCCTTGCAATTATCATCTTTTTTCATAATAGTGTTTTAATCATTATGAATACTAAGGTGTGCCAATGAGAAACTTGCAGTACCTTGGTTGAATTGGTTCAATAAGATCTGTTGTTGAATTTTGCAAAATTTTTTTATGCATTTTAATAAGTTTATTAAAAAACATGCACTCATCACCAAAAATTGCTTCAATTTGTTAGGGTGTAAACTGCTATTTTATCCTGGAGCATTTAACATGACCACAGGACCAGCTCATTGGGAACCACTCATTAGGGCAAGGTAAGTTTTTTGCAGATTATAGTGTATAGTTGTAGATTTAACCCTTTCACTCCCAAGATCTAGTTGATAATTCTCCCCTCTAGCTGCAACATATTTCCTTGCAAATTAGTGACGAGAATTTGGTGTTAGATCAAGACAACAGCTGTTTGCTGGATAATTTATGGATATTACAGGGGGAAGTTACATGTTAATCACTTCTGGGAGTTAAAGGGTTAAAAGAAAAGAGCGTTCAAGAAAGCATGTAATTTTCATCTCTGCCATATGAACTAAAACATCAGAAAATGTAGTTCTGACTAAACTGCTTAAATTTATCTTCAAATGTGTTAAAAGATGCCACCATTTTGAAATTAACTTAGGTATTTGCCCTTACCATAATAGGATACCAGGTCAGCTTCCACTGTTGTTGCTTGAATTCTGAAGTAGAATGTTCTGAAAACTTAACAGTCTCTGTTTTCATTCACAGGGCGCTGGATAATCAGGTCAGGAAAATTAATCATCCAATATTTGTGAATTGAACTCACCCTTGTTTAGTTATTAACAATAAATAGTATTATACATTGAACAAAAGAAACACAAATTATGAATTTCAAGTTGTCTCTCTTTTTTTTTTCAGTTGTATGTAGCAGCTGTGTCTCCAGCCAGAGATGAAAAAGCAACATATGTTGCCTGGGGCCACAGTACAGTTGTCAATCCATGGTAAAAATTTATAAACCTGTAGACCCCTAAGAGTGACTAGCATCTAAATTCCCCTTACAATATCACCCCTGAATCATTTATTGTCGCAAGAATAAAGGAAATCGAGCACCAACTACCAAGCTCTTGATTGTAAGGGTAAGGATTGTAATGGTGAAAAGGTCATTTGTAAGCTTGTGGTTTATCACCAGCCAAAGAAAGATGCAGTTGGATGAGAACAGAAATTGTGTTGTGATTATTATGACTTTTTTGTCATTGATTTCCTAGATAGTGTTGAGTATTTTGGGTGTCTTTGTGTTTGCCCATTTTTTTTTTCCTCTGAGATTTTTCCTCCTTTAGGAAACAGAGGCAGAGATAATTCTGATCATCTGAGAAAACTGGAGATCAATTAGGATAGTTCTTGTTTTTCTGTTTCTTTGATAGTCAGTTGTCATTCCTTACTTAATCAAATTTCCTTTTTTAACTGCATGGATCAACCATCATTTATTATAATTGGTTCATGCTTTGTCACTTTGATTTTTATTGATAAAATGATGATGCATTGTGGATGGTTTTTCTTAGGGGTGAAGTGATTGCCAAAGCAGACCATACTGAGCAAATCTTATATTCAGACATAGGTATGTTTGTTTTTACACATGGTCTGTACAGCTCTCTTGCAGATTTTATTTGTTAAGGAGTTGATTACACAAATCAAAGAACAAAAAAATAAATTGAATTTGTAATGGCATAAGTAAAGATGGTTGTGGAAATACAAAAAAATCACAGAGACAAAGACTAGATCTTCTGATTTTGTATTATTCTTGTTGTAGAATTATTGCTATAAAATTGAAAAAGTTTGATTTCCAAAAATTCATTTAAAGTCTTCCCATTTTTTTTGCAGATGTTAACTATCTTGAAGAAATTAGAGCTCAGATTCCTGTTCAGCAGCAAAAAAGAAGTGATTTGTACAAATTAGAAATGTCATCCTGAAGCTGATCTTCATTAATGGTAGAATAATAGCATACAATCAGCGGTGGGGTAGATGTTGGGAGCAGCGACTTCTTTAACCCTTTACAGTCTAACATCAGTGTCATATTCTCCATACATTAACTAAGGTGCTGACAAGGAGAATTTGTGTAACAGTCAAGAGTTTCTTTAGTTGGTGATCATTTCTTTTACTCTCATGACATCAGCGTGTGATTCAGTGGTGATATTGTGAGGAGAAATTAGATGCTAGTCACTCTTAACAGTTAAATGGTTAATGCTTTAAAGGTCACCTCTGTCCCACAATGGATGCAAAAAACGTTAATGGTGAATTTGGTGGAATTTTGCCAATGGTTTTGGTGAAGGGTCTGCAGCCAGTTTCTTCAAAGTCCTAGTAACTTAATGGGCTGGAAATCATTAAAACAATAGAGAAGCAGTTTCTGGCACCGTAATGAGTCCAGTTTGTTTCTTTGGCTAATAGTTTTTTTTGTATGTTTTCTAAACCTTTTAAACCCCCATCTGGAATTAAAATCAGAACAGCTTTACAGGCCAGTAAGTTGCCAGGACCTTCAAGAAACAGACCCCAGGGCATTATGCTGGGGCAGTATTTTTGAAAGCAATGTGAATATAATGTTAAACAATTAATATTAAGGGAACTGAATTTCCAAAAACAATATTGCTACATAGGAAAATATATGTCTGTATTATCTATATTTTGGAGATAATAGCTTAGAGAAAGTAAAAAATAGAATGGTGTTGAACCACAACCTGTTCTGATATAGCTAGGGTAAAAAAGATATGAATATATAATAATGAAATATTTCTCTTGTTTTGCACTCTGTGCTCTCACCTAGCAGTCATTCTAGCAGACTCTTTTTTTTTCACGAGTGTTTGGACATACTTCTGAGAAATTTTGCTGAAATGTTATCAGTGAGGAAGACATCATCAGCACTTAAAAGAAAAGTTTCAAGTTGTGTCCACGCCTGGTCAAACTAAGTGCTAACTCGACGAAGTTCAGCTTCAAAGCTTTTATGATCAAGGTTTTAATTTTTAAAAGGAATTCTAATAAAAGAGTTGTTGAAACGTTATAATGAAAATGTCCTTCAACTATTGTAGCTCAGTACCCTGATTATCGAGGATGATAGCCAATCTGGACGTAGAAAGGCCCCAGCAAGTCTTGTACCCAGACCTTTCCCAGCCAAGCGGTTGTAAGTTACAGTTACATTGTAGGATCTGGGTTCGAGATTACTCTCATGCTAATCTGGCGCTCTTCCGTTTGATGAACTGTAGCTGAAAAATGCCATAATCAAGGCTAACATTCACATGTTAAGACTTCACTCTTTTAAAGCTCCTGGCTGTTTTGAGCGCGTAATTTTAAAATTAAAATTTATTACCGTATTCTAATTAAATTTCATCCAATACTGAAAAAGGAGATCCGAAGTGGGCTGAGTTCCGCATAGAAATCGTCACCAGTAATCAGTAGACGAAATATCAGATGTTATCTCTATTTGCTGGAACTCGTGCGCAAACGTCAACATAAACAGAAGCATTCCTCCACACATACTCCATTCTGCAACATTAGATACCACGTGGTAAAAATATCCCGGATCTTCAGGGCTCCATTTGAGTTTGGCTAAGAAATGATAACGAGGCCGAGCTTGGTCCCATTCCCAATTGGCCTTGGTCTGGCACGCGCCAAATATCGCCACGCAAAAGGTTATGAGGAGAGAGACCGTGACTCTGGAGTGACACACTGCTGAGCTGTTGATGACACCGTGGTCGCGTAGCTTATATGACATTGCGCATTGTAACCAGCAGTAAAGAAGACCGCTGAAAAAGGCTGTCATCGCACCGATGTCGTGAATGGACCAGTCCTGAATAGTGTAAAAGCAAAAGTGCTTTTTCTTCGATCTACGTTTTAGTCAACCATGATATCTTACTCTAAAAAATGACTAAATTATCCTCATCACTTAACACCCTGGGGTGATTTCTTTTACGGCACCTCCCCAACAGTATGTCTTCCCTTCCCCCCGCCCACCGAGATTCGAAATTTCGGGGTACGATAACACCTGGGGTAAGACAAAAAGGTTCCCGCCCGGAGGACGTCTCCGGTTTGAACTATGGGACTCCTCTATTTCTCGTCAGCTTCAGAGACAGAAAAAGTCTGAGTTTCAAGAGTTAATATAAGCTTGAAGTTGCTTGCATTTCACTCAAAGACCAATCATTATTTATCACCGGGGGAGGGAAAGGGGACAGAGGAGAGAGGCCGCCCCCGCCATATCGGCGATAAATAATGACCGGTCGCTTTATCTAACATTCGTATCGCGATCTGCGAGTTTCTGGTGTCATGAATCTCAAACGCCACTCACTAACTTATTACATATGAATATATCCGCTTTAGAGATCGGAAACAATATCAGAAGGAAATTGCAAGGTTTTAAGACTAATATTATAACTGTGTTAGCCATACCTTTTCTATTTCAAAGTTAGCCACGAAGGTCATTCCGACACCTGCCAAGATGGCGACCACAAAAGCCAGTTTGTTGAGACGTCGCAGTTTTACATGCTCCTCTCGACACTGCTCAGCCACAAGCTTGTACTGCATAAAACGGACAAACGCATTGGAGATGAACAAAAACGCAGTTAAATTTGTTAACTCTCTAAAGACATATTTCTCCGGAAATAAGACGCCAGTTTCGCTAATCGCCGGCAGAAAGGGATAAATATGTCCATGAGAAAGAGCCACGCAGTACGATGAGACAACTGTGACAACACTACAGATAACTAGTAAGATGCAAAGCCAGCCTAATCCACATCGTGGCCATGGCATAACTTGATTTTGTTTAGCCGGCAAATGATCGACAGTTTTCGTCCAAAGAGTTTCCCTTGTTTGTTTGTTTTAACGGAGTATAACGTTCGTTAGTTGCTATAAGACGAATATCACTGTCGTTCTGTAACCTAACGAGGAGAAATATTGTAGAAAATCTTTGACAGAATTCCAAGATGAACCATGATATATATTCGCAGTTTCCATGAAAGCGTCTGTTGACGGCATTTTATCACCGTACACCCGAGCAATTCCACATACGAAAAATAAAAAATCCAAGCCGAATTTTCTCGTGGGTCAAGTTGGCAAATTAACCTCCCGGTACCAGCCACAGTTATCTGACCTAAACGATAAAATCACGTTCTGTCTCTTATATTTGAGGCGAGTCAGAGAACTGCTTAAACATGAGTGGACATTGTTTTTTTTTTCTTTTTTAAGTAGCAAAAAAATGGCCCATAGATACCCATTACTTTGATTCTGAATCACTGAGGTCACGCACAAATATTATTATCGTTAACACACATGGCACCTGTTAAAAATAATTCATGCGTATCTTGTTTTTTTCTAATTAATTTAAGGTCAAACTGTTGCTCAAACAAATGTATTCCCACTGTCTTAAATTGTCACGATTCGCCAGACATTAGTTGTGTAGTTTAGGTATGAATTGTTGCGTAGTTTATACTAAGAAAGAAAATTCTTAGTTCCCTGTTCATACGCTCTTAAATTCGATGTTTTCATGATTATCTTTTAAGCCCTTCTACTGGCGTAAGGTTCACATCTGTACGTGTTTCTACAGTCGAACCTGTACTAAACGGTTCCCTCTATTTAGCGGTCCTGGTCTCCCTATACTAAGTCCCAATAGCCTGTTTCTATCGTCCTCCACCTGTATTGAACGGTCACTGAAAGCGGGATCACTCTAATAAAACTAGCAATAATCTATCAATTAATCAATTCTCTCCCAGATTCAAAGTAAATAGTATTTTTGAGCGAGATTCAGTTTACGTTTTTTTTAATACCCCAAATCTGTGGAACATGTCTTCAGTGGTCGACCCGTATTGAGCGGTCTATTTCCAGTGGGTGACTGTGATATAAAAGTTTTCTCTAATTTTGAACCTTTTGTGCTTCAGATTGTCTGTCACACGCTCATATGTGCCGCTATCTCAAACAGAGCACAAGTTTGATGTGAACTTTCCGGGGTAAGGCAACACAACACAGTGACAATATAAGGGGTGTAATTTTCTAAAGAAAATGTGGTGCTGCTTCGGTGGAGGGTGTTACAAGATGATTTGGCTTTATCAGCTGGGTAGTTTTAGTAAAGACGGTCGAAAACGGAGACGTCCTCCTTTCGAAAACGAGGACGTTGGATGACGCCATAGCGTCGTGCAACCTTATTTCCAGGCCTCTCGTCTCAAATTCGAAACAAATAAGACGGATGAGCGTATGGATATGTTTTTAATGTTGTTGCCTTGCTTAATCGCTTGTTTGGAGCTTAATATTGCGTCATTCAACCTTTTGTTGAACATTGGTTCTCTCAAATGGTTCGCAACTCAAGACTCGGACAAGTAAGCCAGAGGGAAGCAAAAGGTCGTTCGCTCAGGCATGCGCAGTTTGACGAGTACATCAATTCATGTTTTGTATGCGTTTTCGCGTGTCTTAGTGTGGATATTCAAAAACGCTATGAAAACGCTCATGTGGACGCAAAGAAATCGATGCGTTTTTAATAAGACGAAAACGGAGCGTTTCGGAAACGCATTTGTGTGAATGGGGTCTGAGTCTGTCGAACAATAACTAGGTCTTAGGATAATTGGCAGTAATCAAGAAGAAGTGTTCTCTTGCGCCGACATACCCAGGTGTAGAGTGCGAAGCGGAAAGTGGAGACATTTTGGAACGGCCTATCCCAAGATCTGCGTTGTGCGGCTTCCTAAAATGAATTCAAACGCATGCTACGTCATCATAGCTTCGAATGAGACACGGCAACCTTGGAAAGCAGGCTTTCTTAGGAGCCGGGCAGAACTAGATATTTTGCTTGTAAAATCAGTATGCTGAAGGAATCTACAAAGTTATCAATCAATCTAAAGCGGGACCTAACTCTGGGAAATTTCTATCAGAAAGCAAGCAAAAATTAGCATTTCCAGGCTATGATTTATCTCATAGATTCACGCTATTTCGACGCTGAACTTGTTGCTAATTACAATTTTTGGAAATTCAATGTCCTTAAAAACGACGTGGCTGGAAAAAAAATTGAAATCCACGGTAACGAAAACTCACTGATCGCTATTTCTAACAAATATAGCGTGAATTTTGCATAAATTACCTTTGATAAGTTCGGAGGTGACCGAAAGAAGATGTATTTGATGCAGACGACAGGTTTTTCGCTACACAGAGACAATTTTGAATTTGGAAAACTGAAATAAGTGAAGACTCCTACAGATCAACTGTGTCAACAACGCTCGGAAGGTAGGACGCGGTTCTCAGACCAACTATGGCGAATACCGTATTCACCAAATGTTTTGTTCCGATAAATTTCTTTCGCATGATGACAATCGCCATCTCTAAAATTTTATTGATTTGTGTTATGGTGGTGATTCAGGCCATTAAAATAAATTTTGAGAGCTAAAAAAATTTGACTGATTTCCGAAATAACATTGTTTCAAGCATGAAAAGGCTGTACAATCTGTTGGCTTCTGCAGCAATCGAGAAATTATTCATCATGGGCGCTGAAAGACAATGGGTATTTGATTTCTTGTCGGTGTTTTTTAATCATTATTAAATCCTTTTTCTCGAAGGCTAGTTAAAAAAAAAACTTCGTAAGAAACGTAAAAAATCTCTAATATTGTTAATAAAAAAAACTACTTCATACGTGAGTTAGTTCCAGGCATTCTGGAGACACATTTCAAAATAGACTTGGCTTTCGTTGTTGGGTCAGAGGAAGGGCGGTTGCGCAGTTGCTCTGCAACTGAGATTGATCCAGAACATTTTAGCACGCAAAAAGTTGAAAGACAACGGGTACTGATTTCTTCATGAAATATTTTAAATCGCCATTTAATACTTATTCTTGAAAGCTTCATTCAAGGGTTTCTATGATTTGAAAATGTTTCAGTATAAAGTTTCATGATCCGCAATTTCTTTCAGCTTTCACAACGCTCTCTCGGAAAAAGGTATAGATGAAAGTGAGAAAATCATAACTTTTTTTTTGATATTGCAGCCACAGATGGACCTCTTGGCGCTAGAAAAATCTGGAAAGTGAGAACAATAGTGCTTTAGAAAGTCGTTAATAAAAGGTCTCTTCTCTGACACATGATCGCACTTAATTAAACACTCCAGGGAAAACGTCGGTAACATGAGGTGGATGGTAAAGGTAAACTGAATGAATTTGCCTATGGTGTTATTTCTATTATTACACATTAGACTTACTTTGAAAACTCTAATTGGTCGAGAGAGCATACAGTCAGTATACTTTAGCGTGTGAAGTTGACATGATAACCCAGTGTCTGCAGCGGATGTTGAGTCATCAAGTCGAGTTCAAAGTCTGCCTAGTTTCCAAGTCTCATACTTTTACAAACGCAGAGAGAAGTATCTTCTCTTGCAAATAGTTTAAAAATGTATGATAAAAATATTATTGAATTCGTTTTTTGCATGATATCATGAATTATCAAACCTCGAGTTTGTGTTATCTGCCTCAGCCTTTGGCTTCCGCAGGTAACTCAGAGCTCGGCGTTGATAAATCATGATATTATGCTCAACAATTAACTTCATCCAATAATTGCTCAGTCTCCATTTTTTAATGTCAATACTTTCATTGCAAACTTAGTCCACCAACACGCCAGGGCAAGATAAAATTCTTAGTTTACCCAACCCCTTCTCCCAAGTGTTCGCATTCTTCAAATCTTCTTGGCTGTCAGTTTCGTTCGCACCTTTGAAGATGAACAAAGAGAAAATGGACGGTCTGTGAATAGAGTATTGCAAAATGTTATAACAAGTTTTTGTTTCTTCACAGTTGAAGTTATGTCTTGGTTATTCAAGAGGAAATAATTCGCCTTCCAAGACAATTCTCCTGATTTTCACAGCGGGACTGATGCTTCATTTAAACTGGAAATTTCAACCACCTGACGTCAGTAAGTAGTTAGGGGTTTTTCGAGGAAACAGTGCTGTGATTGGTTCAAAATTCACCCCCCCGGTTCTGAATTAAGACAAAGAATCATGCTGATTCTCGCACAAACAACAAGTCGCAAAACCAAGACCAATCGTAAATTAATTTATCTACGAACTTTGTTGAGCATGATTCACTTTGAGATTTTGCGAGTTCTCATTGGCTTGTTACACAAGTAACCACGACAGCGACGGCAACGGGGACGTGGCAAAACAAAGGACGTAAAAGACAGAGCAATGGCTCAGCACGAGTGTTTTAAAACTTTGTACATTTCTTTGTACATTTCCGTCCTCTGCAAGATCACCAACATTTTCGTGATCTGACAACGGGAACTTAGACGGTATTTTAAGCATCGATTTAAAACTCAACGCAGAGCACTTAAGTCATGTTGAAGTTGAGACGTGGCGCTGTTAGAGACAGTTAACATATCCAGTCATTCGCGAAATTCTAACTAAAAATATACGTTCACTTTTAAATCGAAGTCTTCCTCGGCGTTTCTTTCCTGGCTGCTAAAGGTCTCTAACATGAATGGGTTACGGCAGAGTTAATGGGGAGAAATAATTCTAAGATACGTCTAAGAGTAACGGATGTTCTCTTCTCAGGTATGAGTTGTAAGGCAAGCTGTAATGTGAAGGACGTTTTGTCTTGTTCACCAAACGGGGAGATCATCACGAAGACAAGTGTGAGGGAGCTGGGAAAACCACTTACGAGAAAAGGTACAAAATGGAAGGCATCACGATTATATCCCTTATTGCGGTTTATTTAATCAAATGTAACTTTGCCAATTATTTTCTAATCTTTTTGTTTTAGTTTTTCTAACCATTGGAATTCCAACTGTCGAAAGAACTTACAA